TTGGTGGGGGGCAGCTGCTGGGTGCTCTGGCACCCCTACACTTCCCTGTGGAATGGAGTCTCGCGGCTGCCTTCCTGCCTGCCTGCCTCACGGGGCTGCCCTAAGGGGGCCAAACCCCTGCCCCCGGCCGCTTGAGAGTCCCCTTCACTGGTGGGCAGAGGGGGAGACCATCCCCCATGCCCCAGCTCTCTGCTTTGGGCCAGGGTCCTGTCTGTGGAGCTCTGTGCCCGTCAGGGAGGAGGCCAGAAGACCACAGTTCGGCAGTGGCACTGGTGGCACTGCAGTGAAGGCCGTGGCAGGTTCCCAGCTGAGTTGGGAAGGCCTGATGGGCACCAGCCCAAGGCTGCGAAGCCCTGGCTCCAGGTGGGTCCCACGGCCCAGCCTCCCCGAGGATCCTGCCTGCCACGCTCACCCTCCTTGTGGTCGCCAGGCTGTGGTGGGCTGTCCTCACGCTTGCCCGGCCAGGCCTCGGCCCACCTGCCTGCCTGCGCACCGGCTCCCCATGGCCCCTCAATGGGGCCATGACCCTGGTCATGGCTGTGCCTGGCTCCCTCCCAGACTGCCCCCTACTCCTCCCCCCTTGCCTGAGCCTCAAGGCGGCCTTTCACAGGCCAGACAATGCCCCCTCTTGTCCAGGGCCCAAAGGCCACCACGTCGCTGACAGACACTGCAGGCTTGGACCCCAGCATTCTCCCCCAGAGGGCTCACACCCCTGCCTGTTCCTCTTGGGGTTGGCTACAGGCCCTTCCGCATCGGATGCCCAGTTGTGCAGGGCAGGGCCTGTCCCAGAATTGCCCTCTTTGTTTTAATGCTGTATGCCCAGTGGGGCCCCCAGAGGGCAGGTGGGGTCGGGGCCGGTGTGGAGGGCTGAGTGGGCGCAGAGCCTCGTGCCTCAGTCTGCTCATCTCTCGTGGGTGAGTTCCTAGGGGCAGGGCTGCTGGGCCGTCCTATACACATACGAGCAGCTCTGTGAGAAGCGGCCACTGTTCCCAGAGTGCCGACTCTTTGCATCCCCAGGCTCTGCATACGGGGGTCGGGGGGCTCTGGGTCCTTCCAGCACTTGGGATGTCAGTTCTTGTTTTTTCTCGTACGGTTTGTGCCATAGTGGGCGTGCGGTGGTGTCTTGCTGTGACTAATGATGCTGACAATGTTTCCAGCCTGGAGGCTTAAAATGGGGGCTTCTGGGAAGAGGCAGCTGAGTAGGGCTTGTGGTGTGGGCTGACCTGTCTAGATCCTCAGGTGGGGGTACGCACCAGGCATGAAGTAGGGTCTGAAACACAGTAGGACCTGGCACGCAGTAGGTGCTGGCACACAGTAGAGCCTGGCACACAGTAGGGTCTGGCATGAAGTAGAGTTCAACACACAGTAGGACCTGGCATGCAGTAGGACATGGCACACAGTAGGGTCTGATACACAGTAGGACCTGGCATGAAGTCGGGTTCAACACACAGTAGGACCTGGCACACAGTTGGGCCCAGCTCACGGTAGGAATCGGCACACAGTAGGGTCTGGCAGTCAATAGGATCTGGCACACAGTAGGTGTTGAATAGATGCTGATTGAGCCATTCGGTCTCTGCCCCTGGACCTGCCAGCCCTACAGAGAAGATGGTCCTTCTGGCCACAGCAGCCTCGAGGCTGGTGCCGCTGGGCTCTGCATGGTCCCAGAACCACCGAAAGCCAGAGCCAGGAGGGAGGTTGGACCACGGGTGACCCTGGCCGGCCCCATTGGAGAATGTTGCTCCTGTGCCAGGCCTCCGGTGGCGGCTTGCTGTCGGGAAGAGCCCTGACTCAGAGCCGGGTGCCAGGGTGGCCTGGGGCGGGCATCCTCCCCTTGCCCGCAGCCTCAGAGCTTCTCTGTGCCCAGGAGATAAAGCCAGGCTTGTGTGCCCCAGAGGCCAGTGAGAAGCATTCTCATAGTAACTGACCACTATGAAGTGTCATGCTCTTAACACTCCAGTGGCAGCTTCGTCCCCTGGGGGGCTCTGGTATCCCCAGTTGTGTGGCTAAGCCAGTGCCCAGAGAACCCCTGTTCCCATGGCCCGGGCATCCCTGTCTTCTGCAAGGGCCCTGCACCTCTCACTGAGGCGCTGCTGCCACCTGCTGGGCAGTAAGGGGATGGCTAGTAGGGGCAGCAAGGACGCGAGGGGAGGGTGCCGGGGGAGGGTGCCACCTCTTGGTTCCAGGGCAGGGTCACTTGGCCAGACTGGCCAGTGAGGAGCTACACAGACCGGGTCCAGCCCACCCTAGCCCTTGTGAACAGGTGACCTCAGATGGGTTACTTAACCTCTCTGAGCCTTGGTTTTCTTAACTGTAAGATGGGGATGACAGTAGGATGTTGGGAGGTTTTCCGGTGTTAAATGAGACTATGTGTGTGAAGTGTTTGTCCAGGGCCAGGTGGCACTGGTGGTCGCGGCTGGTGTGGATATCATAACTCCAGTCCAGCCTCCAGGGCCCAAGAGGCCGGCAAAGAGTCAAAGAAAGAGCAAGGTTCGACTCCCAGCTTTGCCCTGGGTCAGGAGCTCGGTCAGTCAGTTAGCAGGCTCCCGGGCTGGCCCTATCTGGTTAGGGGACAGCGTGGTGACCTGTGCTGTGCCTGTACAGTGGGGGCCAAGGGGCAGCCAGCTCTTCCAAGGCTCTGAGAGTTGAAGAAGCTGGAGTTGTAGGGGAGGGGCAGGCACTGTCCCTGCTGCATTTTTATGGCTGTGCGCCTCTGGAGAGTGGAGAAAATAGCCCCTTGTCCCTGTGGAGCAGCTGAGGGGGCTGGGGGCTCGGTGGCCAGGGTGGAGCGGCGTCCCCAGCAGAGCCATCGGGGTGCATAGTTAGGGCATGCTGAGTTAGGGCGCTGAGTTAGCGTGCATAGCCACCACCACTGCATACCCCAGTGCTTTCTTACTTTGCAATGTAGACTGCAGGACCCCCTTACCTGGCCCCTCACTCACAGGTCCCCAGACAAGGCAGTCGCCCAGCGCCACCCCCCACCCCGAAAGCTGGCTCTGGGCTCCGTGTGGGAGGCGGTGGGGGTGGGGGTGCGGTTTCACCAAAGCTGAACAGACACTTTCCGTTGGGCCAGCATTGCTTTCCTGGGTGTGGACCAAGAAAACCAAGGGGAGGTGTCCACCGGAGGTCACAGTCAAGGTGACGATGTCCCACAGCAGAGTCGTCCCAGATGTCCCCTGCAGGAAACAACCAGATGTCTGTCAGCTGGGGGACAGATAAACTGTGATGCATCCATGCAAAGAAGCACCACTCAGCAAGCGGGAACCCACCCCCCGTCTATCAGTGTGTTCTGCTATGGTGGCTTGCATGTTGCTGTGATGCTGGAGGTTATGCCACTGATATTTCAAATACCAGCTGGGCCACCCATGGTGAACAGGTTTCCATGGAGCTTCTAGACTAAGACAGAGTAAGAAGAAAGGCCAGGCGATCTACTTCTGAAAATTAGCCACTGAGAACCCTATGGATCACAACAGAACATTGTCCGAGATAGCGCTGGAAGATGAGCCCCCTAGGTTGGACGGCACTCAAAATGTACAGTGGCCGCAACAATGGACTTGAGCATACCAACCAGCAATCATGAAGATGGTGCAGGACTGGGCAGCATTTCGTTCTGTTGTATGTAGGGTCGCCATGAGTCGGAGCTGACTCAATGGCAGCTAAGAACCACCACCACTGATACACGCAGCAACATGGATGAACCTCAAAGAAATGTTGAGTTGAGCTGAGTTGAACAGCCAGATCCAAAGGAGTTCGTGCCGTATGAGTCCACTTTTTGTCATTCTAGAACAGGCAGAGTGAGTCTGTAGTGATGGAAGTCAGGACAGTGCTGGTGGGGAGGCAAGAGGGAACTCTCTGGAGTGGTGGAAGTGTTCATCGGAGTGGTGGTGTATCAGTCTCTTGTGGCTGCTGTAACAACTCACCCCAAACTCATTGTCTTCAAACAACACACATCTATTCTCCTGCAGTTCTGGAGGCTGGACATCCAAAATGAGTCTTGAAGGTCTAAAATCAAGGTGCGAGCAGGGCTGGTTCCCTCGGAAGCTCCAGTGGGGAATCCGTTCATTGCGTCTTCCTCTTCTAGAGGCTGCCGGCGTTCCTTGGCTTGTGGCCGCATCGCTCCAGTCTCTACCTCCGTAGTCACAGGGCCTCCACCTCATCTGCGGTCACACCTCCCTCTGTGCGCCTCTTATCAGGACCCTGTGGTTGCATTTAGGGCCCGCTGGATAATCCAGGACAGTTTCCTATCCCAAGATCCTTAACCACACCTGCAAAGTCCTTTTGGCTTTATAAGATAGCACTTGCAGTACATGGACTAGGGTGTGGATGTCTTGGGGGCTGTTACTCTGCTGGCCACAGATGGTTACATAGGTTCATAAAACAAAAACCAAATCCATTGCCTTCAAATCGATTCCAACTCATGGCCACCCCATGCGACAGAACTGTGCTCCATAGGGTTTTCTTGGCTGTAATCTCTAGGGGAGCAGATCACCATGCCTTTCTTCCGCAGTACCACTGGGTGGGTTTGAACTGCCAACCTTTGGGTTAGCAGTTGAGCGCTCACTGTGTGCTCCATTCAGGGACCTACGTAAGTGTGTCCATGTGTAGACAGTCACTGGCTGTACATGAAGGTGAGTGCAGTTTGTTATACCTCAAAAACACAAAACCAAAAATTAAAACAAAAGCAGCAGACAGAAACAGCAGTGGCAGACAGCCTGGTTGGGGGTGGGAGGGACCTAGGCTTCACAGACCCTGTTGCACCCGTTGCCACCGGCCTGAGCCTCAGTGTCCCCTCCTGGACCGCGGTGGACCCCCGCACAGCGGACCCCTGCCTGGCCAAGGCAAGCAGGACTGGAACCCAGCTTGGCTGCCTCCTGGCCGCTCCTGCCCTGCCCACCGTCCCTGTGGGTCTGTGGGGCCCAGATGAGGACAGGCTGGCTGGAGACTCTCCCCTCTTCATGGCCCCATCTGATGTGACTGTCAACCCCGTCCGCTTCCCTCCCCAGGGTACCGAGAAGGGTTCCTCTGGAAGCGAGGCCGCGACAACGGGCAGTTCTTAAGCCGCAAGTTTGTGCTGACGGAACGCGAGGGGGCCCTGAAGTACTTCAACAAGAATGATGTGAGTGGGGGTGAGGGGAAGGGTCCAGGCTGCCCACCTGGGGCCAGGGAGGCTGAACACGTGCCCTGGACAGCTGGCATCTTGTCCTCAGCTGCCCTCATGTGATCCTAGGAGCCATGCTGCCCCTGACCCCTGTGGGACATGCCGCCCCCGTGAATGAGAACATCCCATCCCCCACGGGGACAGGGAAGCACGGGAAGGAAGGCAGCAAAAAGAGGCGGGGCCCAGACAGAGGCTCTGTCTGCTTGAAGGGGCCAAGAGGAGGGTCTCCCCAATGCTGAGTGCCCATGTGATGTCATTTTGGTCACCATCATGCCTGAGGGGGGAGATCTTGTGAGGCCCAGAGAGGTTGAGCAGGTTGCCCAGGGTCACACAGCACAGCAAGAGAGCTGCCAGCACCCATGCTCGGGTGGTCACCCAAGGGCGCAGCCGCCCTTGCCACTGCTCTCAGCTCGGGGACTGGCTTTCAAAGAATGTTCCTTGTTCCCAGGCCAAGGAGCCCAAAGCCATCATGAAGATTGAGCACCTCAATGCCACCTTCCAGCCGGCCAAGATCGGCCACCCCCATGGCCTGCAGGTGACCTACCTGAAGGACAACAGCACTCGAAACATCTTCGTCTACCACGAGGATGCGAAGGTGGGACGCAGGCTGGGCAGGGCCAGCAGGGGGCAGGGAGGGGTTAGACTACTTCCCATGCTGCCTCCCCAGGGGGACAGACATGCTTCCAAGAGGCGTCCTGGGGCCGCCGGAACAAAGGACCACAAACCAGAGGGCTTAAAACAACAGGAATGTATTCTTGCACAGTTCTGGAGGCCAGAAGTCCAAAATCAAGGTGTCTGCAGGGTCACGTTCCCTCCAAAGGCTCCAGGGGAGGATCCTTCTTTGCCTCTTCCCACTTTTGGTGGTTCCTGGCGTTCTTTGGCTTTTTGATGCATCAACCCAATCTCTGCCTCTGTTATCACATGGCTGCCTTCTCTCCGTGTCCCTCTGAGTCTTCTTTTATAAAACACCACTCACATGATTAGGACCCACACTACTGCAGTGTGACCTCATTCTAACCTAACTGATGGCATCCTCAAAGACTCTAGTTCACAACAAGGTCGTGTTCACAGGCACCAAAGTTAGGACTTCAATGTATCTTTTTTGGGGACACAGTTCAGCCCATAGCAGCTCAATACGGAATTCTAGGTTGGAACTAATTTTCCTTCATAATCCTGAAGGCGTTGCACCACTGACTCCATGCTTCCAGCACTGCTATTGAGAAGCCCAAAGCTTCTCTGACTCATCCTTTCTGTGCAACATGCCTTTGGTTGGTTTTCTTCGTCTAGAGTTTGTTCCTGGGGTTTCAACATTTTCTGATGGTGTGCCTTCAGAAGGGGTGGGGCCTTCTGGTCTTAGTTATCTAGTGCTACTATAACAGAAATACTACAAGTGGATGGTTTTAACAGGGATTTGTTCTCTCACAGTCTTGCAGGCTAGGAGTCCAAATTCAGGGTGCCATCTCCAGGGGATGGCTTTCTCTCTGTGGGTTCTGGGGGAAGGTCCTTATCATCAATCTTCCCCTGGTCTAGGAGCTTCTCAGTGCAGGGACCCCAGCTCCAAAGGACACGCACGCTCCTGGCTCTTCTTGCTTGGTGGTAATGAGGTCCCTTGCCTCTCTGCTCTCTTCTTTCCTTTATATCTCAAAACAGATTGACTCAAGAGACAACCTAATCCTGTAGATTGCATCCTGCCTCATTAACATAACTGCCTCTAATCCTGCCTTATTAACGTCATAGAGGATTTACAACATATAAGATAAATACATCAGATCACAAAATGGAAGACCCACACAATACTGGGAATCGTGGCCCAGCCCAGAAGACACACATTTTTTTTTTTTTTAATTGTACTTCAGGTGAAGGTTTACAGAACAAATAGTTTGTCATGAAATGGTAGTACACATATTGTTTTATGACATTGGTTAACAACCCCACGACATGTCAACCCTCTCCCTTCTCGACCTTTTTTTTTTTTTTTTTTGGGTGAAAATATACACAGCCAAAGATTCACCATTTCAAAGATTTCTACATGCACAGTTCAGTGACATTGACTATGCTCTTCAGTTGTGCTGCTGTTCTAACTTTAGATGAAGGTTTACAGAACAAAATAGTTTCTCATTAAACAGTACACATGTTGCCCTATGACAATGGTTAACAACCTCACAACACATCAACACTATCCTTACTCAACCTTGGGTTCCCTATCACCAGCTTTCCTGTCTCCTTCTGCCTTCTAGCCCTTGTCCCTAGACTGCTGTGCCTCATTAGTCCCATTTGGTTTTATGGGGCTGTCCACTCCCCGGCTGAACGGTGAACCTTGGAAGTGACTTCACCACTGAGCTAAAAGGGTGTCTGGGGGCCATACTCTCGGGGTTTCTCCAGTCTTCTTTAGGCCAGTAGATCTGGTCTTTTTTTTGTGAGTTAGAATTTTGTTCTACATCCTTCTCCAGCTCTGTCCAGAACCCTCTGTTGTGATCCCGGTCAGAGCAGTCAGTGGTGGTAGCCGGGCACCATCTAGCTGTACTGGACTCAGTCCGGTGGAGGCCTTCGTAGCTGTGGTCCATTAGTCCTTTGTACTAATCTTTTCCTTGTATCCTGTTCTCATTATTCTCCCTTGCTCCCGAAGGGATGAGACCAGTGGAGTATCTCAGATGGCCGCTCACAGGCTTTTAAGACCCCAGATGCTACTCACCAAGGTAGAATGTAGAACATTGTCTTTATAAGCTGTGTCATGCCAATTGAGCTAGATGTTCGCCGAGACCATGGTCCCCACAGCCCTCTGCCCAGCAATTCAGTCCCTCAGGGAGTTCGGATGTAAGACACACATTTTTGGGGGACACAATTCAGTCCATAACACGATCTGTTCACTCATGTCCATGAGGTCAGGGAATGTTTTTTTGAATTATTCCTTCCCTCCATTTTCTCTTTTTGCTATTATTCAGATGTTGGCTCTCCTAGACTCATTTTCTCATTAATGTCTCCTTTTTTCTTTTTTTCTCAACTTTCTGGGAAATTTCTTCAACTTTGTCTTCCAGCTCTTCTACGGAGGGTTACATTTCCATTCTCAAATTTTTAATTTTGCAGGGCTCCTTGTTGTTCTTGGAATGTTCCTATTTCAGAGTACACTGTTCTTGTTTTACGATTCTAATATCTGGTCTCTAATTATCAATGATAATTTTTGAAATTTCCTTGCCCCTTCTAAGCTGCTGTCCCGTGTGTGTGTGTGTGTGTGTGTGTGTGTGTGTGTGTGTGTGTGTGTGTGTGTGCGCGCGCACTTCTCTGTCTTCTGTGTGGGATTTCCTTGGATGTCCTGGGATCTTGGGCTGGTCATATTCTCCAGACCAAACTCCTCCTGCCTGGTACAGATACATATGATACATTTGGGTCCCTGGCTAAGGTGGTGGGAGATGGTGGGGAGGAACAGAGCCATGGGAGCGGGTTGCAGTCTGGATGTGGGAGGGTGGAGTGGAGGTCTTGTGCACTTCCCAAGAGGAGGATATAGGTGTCTGGGCACTGAGGAATGATGTGGGCCTGGGTGAGCCCTCCTGGGAGGGGGAGGCACCTTGGACTGCAGTCAGGAGGAGGGTGAAGAGAGAAGCCAGAAAAGCAGGAAGAAACCCAGAAAACGAGGCTCTGGGACTCAGGCATTAGAACCACTCCAGTGGGGTCAGGTGTGAGAGGAGGTGATGCTCACGGGTACAGGTGAGGTGGGAAGAGGCAGGTAAGGTGAGAGGAAGCGGCTGGCCCTGAGAGGTAAGACTGGAATTCATAAAGGCACAGGGCTTAGGTAAGAGAGAGCCACTGCAACTGCAGAGTGAAGGGGTCACTACAGGGGCAGTCGTGGGAGCTGGGCTCAACAGCACAGGGCAAGCGGGCCTAGATGGAGGAGAAGCAGAAGCACCGGTCGTCAGGAGGGGAGGAGGAGGGGAGTTTGTGCAGAGAGGCTGGAGAGTGTCCTGATGGGAGGAGGTGGAAGAGAGGGAGGCTAGCGACCGAAGACAGTTGCAGGCAGGGTCGGCAGGAGTCCGGATGGGGGCTTAAGGAGGGACGGGCCGGAAGTGGTGGGTGGTACCAGAGGAGGTGGGTGGGGCCAGAGCACAGGTGGGCAGGGCTAGAGAGGTGGGTGGAGATGGAGACAGTGGGCGGAAACAGAGGAGATGGGTGCGGCCAGAAGAAGTGGGAGGGTGGTCAGAACGGTGGTAGCGAGGCTAGAGATATGGGCGGGGCTGCAGGAGGGGCAGGATTGGGGATGGTGGCTGGGGGCCGAGCCGGGGGTCGGGGTAGGGGGTTGGGGTCGGAGCACTAGAGGTGAGGCTTGGAGTGGATTTGCAGGAGAGGTGGAGTCGGAGCTGGGCGCTGGGGTCTGAGCAGGGAGGGGGCCCAGATCTGGGTGCCATTTGAGCTCGTCCAGGTGAGCCGCTAGCAGGAGTGAGGCTGCGTGAGGCTGCGGCTCAGGAAGGAGCAGACGCTGACCTGCCGCAGCTGGGTCCATCCGGCTTTGGGAACTTTGCCTGGGGCACAAAACCAGGACGGGTGGAGAGGGGGCTGGTGGGTGCACGTGGGATGGGAGGAGGTGGGGTGGGGTCCCTGGGACAGCCTGGAGGGAGTAGAGGCTGGCACAGGTGAGGACGGGGCTGTGACCGGGACCCGAGGGAGCTGGGCAGACCCAAGGGTAGGCGCTGGGCGTGGGGAGAGAGGAGACCATGAGGGGCAGCGGCGGGGATCTCGGAGTGGGGGGCGTCGCCCGCGCCCGTTTTCTGTTGGACGGGGTCCTTGAGCCCCGCCCAGGGCAGCAGCCCGCCCCTCTCTGAGGTGGAAGCCCCCTCCCCTGCCTTGGCAGCCCGCAAGGCTCGCCCGACCTGAAGGGGCAGAAGCCAGCACCGCACCCCTGCGGCAGCGCCAGGGCAAGGGGCGCTCAGACCCCCAACGGCCCTTCTAGGCCCACAGCCACGCTGCCCATCCTGATCCCGGCCAGTTCCCTCCCGCCTGTCCCCTGACCGTCCCCGCTCCCGGTCTTCGCCCAGGCTGCACTCACCGACCAATGGAAGCCTCCCTGGCCTTCAAGGCCGGCCCAGGGGCGCCTCCTCCAGGAAGCCCGCTGTCCTGGCCCGGCTCAGCTAAAGCGCAGGAGTGAGGAGTTGACCAGGAACTGCTTTAGCCCGGGGCTGGGGGAGGGGTGATGGAGGAGTTTCTGAGGGCCCTTGCTCAGACCCCCTTCATCCCTCAGGAGATCGTGGACTGGTTCAACGCGCTGCGGGCGGCCCGCTTCCACTACCTGCAGGTGGCCTTCCCAGGGGCCAGCGACGCAGATGTGAGTGGGGGTGGAGGGGTCAGCAACGCTGATGTGAGTGCTGGGGGTGGGCCAGCGACACTGATGTGAGTGCCTGGGGGGACATCAACGAGAAGGACGTGAGTGCTGGGGTGTGGGAAGTGACAAGGACTTGAGTGCCGGAGGGGTGGGGAAGTGACGATGTGAGTGCCTGGGGGGGACAGTGACCCTGACGAGAATGCGTGGGGGGATGGCGACGCTGACGTGAGTGCCCCTGGGGGGGATTGACAAGGACATGAGTGTCGGGGGGGGACAGCGACCGACAAGAATGCCTGGGTGGGGGTGGGAAAGACTGGGTGGGTGGCTGGCCAAGGGTATCCAGGGTGGTCCTAAAGTAAGCCTAGCTCTTCCACTCGTTTCTGGTAAGCTTTGGCTCAGCGGCAGTGGAAAGAAGGGACAGACAGAGGCTGCTGTGTCAGACCTGGCAGAGGGAGTGTAGGGGTGGGGGTGCAGCCCCTGGACGGGCCCTTGGCCGGGAGCAGGGGTGAGCCAGGTCCCAGGGGACTCCTGACCGCCCTGACCTTGTACCATCTCCCCTTCCACCCTAGCTGGTGCCCAAGCTGTCCCGGAACTACCTGAAGGAGGGCTACATGGAAAAGACGGGGCCCAAGGTGGGTGTGACGGCACTCAGGCAGGACAGGGGTGCCTGGCGGCCCTGGGCCCCCACCCCAGGTCTCGCCCTGAGATCGATCCACTCCCCAGCTTGTCCCTGTCACCTGGGGCTGGGCTGTGCAGGGTGGGGGCAGACCCAGGGGGCATCTGGGACAAATACTCCAGGGGAGGCGCGGTGGGGGCCTGCGTCAGAGGCCAGGCGGCAAGGAGGGCTTCCCTGGGGAGGTGAGGGCTGGGCCGGGGTCCAGAGATGAGCTGGGAGATGGGGAGTGTCCCAGGTGAAAGAACAGCTTGTGTAAGGGCCTTTATGGTCAGGAAGGGGAAGGGGTGTGGGGGGAGCAGACTCCAGCAGGACCCCCAGGAGGCAGGAATGAGCAGGTGAACGAAAGAGTGAATGGACAGTCGAATGGCCCGCCCTCCTGGTGAGCACTGTGGGGGATGGTCCGGCCAGCTAGTCAGTCACCAACCTCTGTCGGCAGCAAACGGAAGGGTTCCGGAAGCGCTGGTTTACCATGGACGACCGAAGGCTCATGTACTTCAAGGACCCTCTGGTGAGTTGGGGCACTAGGTAGGACCTTCGTGGGGTGCCCTCCTCAGCTCAGGCACAAGCTGGACATAGCCACGTGGTGGGGGCCACTCTGTGGGAAAGTGGGACTCCCAGGCTCTGGAGATGGCTACCCCAGGGCCATGGCCGGCCCCCCTCAGCCTCGTCCCACCTCAGGACGCCTTCGCCCGTGGGGAGGTCTTCATCGGCAGCAAGGAGGGTGGCTACTCGGTGCTGGAGGGCCTCCCGCCAACCACCCAGGGCCACCACTGGGCCCACGGCGTCACCATCGTCACACCCGACCGCAAGTTCCTGTTTGCCTGCGAGACAGAGGCTGACCGCCGGGAGTGGGTGGCCGCCTTCCAGAGCGTTGTAGACCGGCCCATGCTGCCCCAGGAATACGCAGGTGAGGGTGGCAGGTGGGCTCATGTCCAGGGCACCTGGGAAGTTGGTGGAGCCCCTGGGGTCTGGATGGCACCCCCAGTGTCTGGATGGAGCCCCCGGGTTCTGGATGGGTTCCCGGGACAGGCTGTGGAGGCTGGGGCTGAGTTTGCCCTCCTGCTGGCATGATGAGCCCCAACACCTGCCCCGTTTCAGTGGAGGCCCACTTCAAGCATAAACCCTAGAGGACAGTGGGGGCAAGGACACTGGAGTCGCTGTGCTGTGGACTTCGAGGCAGCCAGACCGGGCAGCCTGCAGAGGGGGGTTCTGAGGAGCCCAGTGGTCTGGCCTGGCCCTGCTGTTGGGGGGAGCAGCTGTGCAGTGACCAGGTGGGCCCAGAACCCCTGCCCCTTGGCCTGAACCTCGGCCCTAGGACTCATTCTCCTTGGCCTCACTGTGGGCCCCTTGGCTCTGGCCTGACCCCTGCCCAGCCATGCTGCTCTGGCCAGACCCTCCTCCCCTCCCAGATGTGCCCCCAACCTGCTGTCCTTCTTCCGAAGCCCGCCTGCCCTTCCCGAAGCCCCTCACGCACTCCGCCCGGCAGTCCTGTAGGGGGCGTGTGCAGTGTTTCCTGGCCTCCAGGCAGGGCACGGCCAGGCCCATGGGGCGGCTTTCTGGGGACAGTGGGCAGGCCTGGCTCCACATGGGAACTCAAGCTGCCCCTGCACCTACACTCCTCACCTGGTCCACCCTCATGCTGCTGCCAGCTGTCCTCTGGTCCCTCCAGCCCTCTAGCCCTCCTCTAACAAGTATTTATTGGGCAACTGTGTGGTCAGTCACTGCGGGGAGAGGGGGACAAAGCAGACAGTCCTTGTCTCCAGGAGTTGGCACAGCTGGGGCAGTGTTGAGGGGCAGTTGGGGAAGCCGCACTGACAGGAGCTCCCGCAATAGCCCTGGAGACCTGGCTGGGGGTGGGGGCATGCAGAGGGACCCACGTGTCTGCCAAGGCCTGGTTGCTGGAGGCCTGCCCGGCTGCCCCCATGGTGCTCCCGCTGACTGCTGACCCCGGCTCGGGCTGTGACCTTGCTGATCTGAACCCTGGGCAATGTGGCCTCTGCCCCAGGCCCCCAGCTTGCTGCTGGCCGGCCAGTAGCTGCAGCACTCCTGTATTTATTTTTCACCCTGACCCTTCCCGTGAGTGTCCGGGTGTCCAGGTGGGGCCCCAGAGCCCACCGTGTCTGGGCCACATGCAGAGTGGATTGGTCTCCTCAGCAGGGTCATGTGGCCCGCAGGTGACCTGGTGGGCCCCATGCCCCTCCCAGCCCTGCCTGGCCAAGACATAGCCCTGCCCACTGTCCACGGTGCCTGGCAGCGGAGGGGACAGAACGGGGCTCTTGGCTGGGGTTTGTGGTCACCATGTCACACCCGGAATAAAGTTGTGGCTCCAGAGTGGTCTCCTGTGTGTGTTTGAGGGGTGGGGGGAGCCGGCGGTGGGAGCCCTGGGGCTGGGAGGTGCCCAGCTGAGCTGCTGGCTGGGCACGGGACCAAGGACAGCGGGTCGGCTATGTTGGGGCTTGGGTGGTCAGGGTCTTGCTGCAGTGCTCACTCCCGGCCCTGCCGCACTTGGGCCTGGTGAAGTCAGCCCCTTGGGGATGTGTAGCTGAGGCCACCCAGAGGCCTTGAGGGTCCCAGAGCCCCCCACCTCCACCCCCTGAAGGTCAGCTTGGTGCCCAACAAGGACTTGGGGGGTGGTGAGGAGAGTGGGCAGCAGGGCCTGTGTCCTCCCAGACACCGGAGTTCTGGGCTGGGCCCCACGCTAAGCGCCTCCTCAAATGAGGGAACTGAGACCCAGGAACCTTCCTGTCCCCTCACAGCTCTCCACCTGGGGTCCCCCAAAACAACGGTGGTGGTGGTGACACTGCAGGATCCTCTCATCAGCAGTGGGGTCACCAGTGGCCGTCACCCGAGTCCCAGGACCACCACTGGGTACCTCAGGGCTGGAGCGTTCAACCAGCCGCTGCCACCCCCGCCCACCCATTTCAGGGAGGAGCGGCCCCACCCCTCACCTCAGGAGGCTGCTGGTTCACCCTGGCCCGGTTGCAAGCCAGAGCCGAGGTCTGCACCAAGCCCAGAAGCGACCTCGCCCCCCCCCCCCACCTCCCGCCAAGCCCCATTGTCGCTTTTCAGACAGGAAACAGCCCCCAAGGTGAGAGGCCTTGTCCTGGGTCAGAAATGAGAGCCCTGGGGTCCTCGGCCCTTGCCCGTGTTTATCCTGCTCAGCCACCCGCCTGCAGCCTGGTGGTGCCACACAGTGTACACACGAGTGTACATGCATGCTTGTGCCTGCGTGTTATGTATGCGCATGGGTGTGTATGACACTATTTAAAAAGAAACCAGGGCAGCCTCACGGTCGCAGGGAAGAATTTCTCCGACGAAGTCCAGAGCCAGCGGCTCCAGTTATTTAAAGCACTTGGCTCCTGGCCGCAGGCAGGAGCTGACCCAGCCACCAGGGGGCGCTGTGACCACTGCGCCCAGGCTGATCCCCCTAAAACTGACAGGCTCCAGCCGCCCTTAACCCAGTGGATTTTTCCAAATCTAAATAAAATCACAACACATAGACACACATTTCTTTTAACATCATAGTTGAGTGTTGGCCCCTTGCTGCCATGTCTCCATCCACACAGGGCAAGCCCAGGGAAGGGCTTGGTGCCACAGCACAAGCTCTACTCACGGGGAATTTGCTCAGACACCCCCAGGGAGCCCAGGAGGCTTGGCAGCTGCCCCCTGGGGTGGGCATGAGTCAGAGCCGCAGAGCCCCCACCCCCCAGGAAAGAGGTCACAGTGTCACCCCAAGATGTGGCCACCCAGCCAACCTCAGGAGCAAACTCAGAAAGAAGCACAACCCAGTATAAAGTATTTATTTAAACTCAACAACACAAAACCTTCCTTTAAATTCCATTTTTACAGTAAATAAGATCGTATATCTCCCCCTTCCCATGCATGATCACTTCATATTAATCTACAACTTTTTAACTGTGAAAAAATAAAGTGTCTCCCCTTTTGTGATTATACTGGTGACGGTACAGCTCAGTGACAAAGGCGGATATGCTAACTCCTGGACCGGTTATTTGGTTAAAACCTAAAATGTTAGGTCAAAGGACTCAATCACCCAATAAAAATAAATATTGCATCACGAGAGATGTGGAGTTATGCAGGATCCCTTTTAAGAAATAGCCTTTCCGGAGCAGCAACTCCACCGGCACGGTGACCGCACGAGGACAGGGACACAGCACCCAGCAGTGGCGTGGTGACCATGGGGGATGAGGGCCCACGGCTCACGCTCATGACGGGACATGCTACATCATGATCGCACGGCGGCCCAACTAGTTCAAAACAACACAAGGTAAAGAAAATGGCTCTTGTGGCGAGACGCGGGGCTGCCTCCTTGTGTGCCACGGCGCACTCGGCCCAGGAGAGCTAGGTGAGCTGTGCAGCCCCCCGAGTCACCGTGAGGACAGGTCCCATGCCATCCCGTGCCACCCCACAGGAAGCTGAAACAAAGGACGGGGCGGCGCTGTTGTAGGAAGGCCTGTGCTTTATTACGGAGCAATCTGAAGGGCGGAGACACCGCGGGCCACGTGACTCGCCCCAAGTCCCATCAGCACAGCGACAGGCAGCCAGGTCGCCTGGCCACCTCACGAACAGGAGACCAGATCCTGGACGCAGCCCGCCAGCCTCAGGATGAGGAGCCCTCAGGGAAGCTGTGTCGCAGGACTCGCATTCTGAAGCTGCCCAGGCGTCGCCGTCTCCATCGTGTCCAGACACATCAGTCGAGCTCGATGGGGCTGCTGTCCTCCTGACTCTCCTCGCCCTCCTCCTGCTCAGAGGAGCCCATGAGGCTGCTCAGAAGGTTCCCTGAAAGGAAACATGGGCAGCTGGGGACAGGAGTGGCTCTTCATGTTCAGCCCCCACCCACCCGAGAAACCATACCTCCCTGCGGACGAGTGCAGCAACCAGCGTGCACTCTGGGAGGCGCCATGGCAAGACGGAGCCCAAACCAAACAACACACTTACCCTGTGACCCAGGAATCCCACGGCTAAGACATTTCTTGAAGGGCAGAGGGACAAAAAATAGGGAGGGGAAAAAAAAAAAACCTGGGCACCGTCCAATAGGTGACTAGGTGCAGTCCCACAGGGAACCCCCAAAGCATAAAATAACACCGTGAAAAGATCACTTCTGAGTGCAGGAAACACTACAGTCATGTGCACGGTACCCTTTCAATGACTGTACATAAATAAACGAGGGGCAGATGCTCCCGAGGCTCCGTGAACCTGTGAGCCACCGTTGTCGCAGGACATGGGTGTCACCACTGCCCGTCTCCTTTTCACTTTCCTAATTTTTATCCAATGAGCGTCTATTGTGTAAATATAAAATCACGGTTTAGGAGGGTCCCTAAACCAGACCACAAGGGAAACAAAAGAACAAATGGAAAGAACTTCTTGGATACCAAGACATGGTCACAAAGAGGTAAATTCTCCCTGTGTTGGTCATTAACTCAGTCCTGACAAACACACTGACAGTATTTCTGGGGCAACTGGAAGAGCCGAGCCTTAAGTTCTGGCGGATAAATGAACTGAAATGTCAGCGTAATTTTACAAAGGGACAACAAGGAGAGAGGACAAGAAATCCCGAGAAGGCCCATACGTATGGGGCATTTAATGCAGGATCAGGTGGTGTCTTCACACAGTAGGGAAGGTGGACACCTGCATAGGTGGTGGTGGTGTGACTGGAGAGAGATTGGGGGAAAGGTAAGTGGGTTTCTACCTCACAGCTTCTACTGAAAATAAATTCCAGATAGGTAAAATTTAAAAGTAAAAATAAAAATACAACTTATATGAGAAAACAGTTTAATTGCTAGTGAACTATCTTACAGACACACTCCTCTATAGATGGAATGGGACACAAATAAGGTTATGCAGTGCCGGCACTGACTGCATTCAAGGAATGGTACATGAATAAGGGTATCACTGCAGCACTAACTGCACGCAGGGAACAGGACATGAAAATAAGATTATCATTACAGCACTGACTGCACTCAGGACAGTAAACAAGTAAGATTATCATTACAGCACTGACTGCACTCAGGAACAGTACACGAATAAGGTTATCATTGCAGCACTGACTGCACTCAGGGAACAGTACACGAATAAGATTATCATTACAGCACTGACTGCACTCAGGAACAGTACACGAATAAGGTTATCATTGCAGCACTGACTGCACTCAGGGAACAGTACACGAATAAGATTATCATTACAGCACTGACTGCACTCAGGACAGTAAACAAATAAGATTATCATTGCAGCACTGACCGCACTCAGGAAACAGCACACGAATAAGGTTATCATTGCAGCACTGACTGCACTCAGGGAATGGTGCATGAATAAGACTATCATGGCAGTACTGACTACACTCCAGGAACAGTACACAAATCAGGTTAAGCATTGCGGCACTGACTGCACTCAGCCTAAATGGGCAGCAACAGAGTAAGCTGTGGTGTGTCCTCACAATGGCTACTTGTGAGGCTAAGCCCACAAGTGGGCTACTCTCTATGTCATGTGAAACAGTTCTAAGATCTGTTAGGTCAAAAAAAAAAAAAAACAAGGTGCACAGCAGTGTGTACAACAGGTATCGTTTGTGCAGAACAAGGGGGAAACAGCGTATCTGCTGGTATATGCAAAATTCTCTCTGGAAGGAAGCAGAAGAAACGTGAACACCACTTGCCCCAAGAGGAGGACTGTGGAGCAGGAAGACAGGGTCAGACGGTGAATTTTTTTTAAATTTTGAACTCTGAATAATGTACCTACTGAAAAAATAAAATTAAAATAATTGAAAAAATAAAGATTACAAAAATATTTTAAAATAAAGGACTATACTAGCTCCTACCCTCATGGAAGGGGGAAAGTTCAGCATCAGGAAGTGGATCATGTGGCAGAGCCCTGCTCCTGGGAAGGCTCTCCTGAGGGCCGCCCGCTGTGGCAGTCTTGGGTGGGTAGGGAGGCAGGACAGACGCAGGGAGGTGGCTTGGCCTTGAATGGTAGGTTCAGAATCTGACCTTGATTCTATGGCCTCTATTTGGGACTATGACAAGAGAAGGACCTAGAGGCAGACCAGACAGGAGACCATAAGGAGACCGCCGCCACAGTCAGTGAGGCCATGATAGTACCATGGGACGGAGCCGGCGGACCGACACCACAGAGCACCCCCAGCCAGGTCTGAAACACAAGCTGCTGCCTGGTCCCCTTCCTCCCCTGCCCGGCCCCAGCCAAGTGAGCCAGAGGTGAGGTACGTGGGCACCCTTTTCTTGGGCTTACCTAACAAGCCTCCATAGGAAGACGTCTGCTTGGGTGGCACACCAAAGAAGAGCTGTCCTATTCTGTCGAGGTACTGAAAGAGCAAAGGCGCACATCACTGGGAAGTAGACTGGTGCTGGGCCAGCTGAGCACAGACCCTGAAGGGCAGCCTGCCTGTAGCCCTCCCTCCCACTTTCCCTCTGTGCCATGAGGGTCCCATGAATTGGAAGGTTTCCCTCCATCTCTCTCTGACCTCTTGCCCTACAGTCTAAAGTTTGGATCACCCCACTGAGCCACTCACCTCATTGTACATTGGGTCTCTCCTGAGGGACGGCTGATACTGCTCACACAATACTGTAAATACGGTCAGTTTGCCTCTAAAACAAAATAGTGAAGCAAAACTTTGTTTCTAAAAGAAAACAAAAGCACACACCCCACACGAACAAAGCTTACCCGTCTACAGCCAGCAGCAGAAACCAGATGAAGTTAAGCAGGGGCTGTACAAACGGAGGTCCGTTCTCGATTGACGGATGTTTCTGTGTGTATGTTGTGAATACCACCGACGCACTGCTCTTATTTTTTAAACAGAGAAATCTGGAAATAAGAGTTATCTGGTAAGTGGAAACCCTGGAGGAAGAGATGGGCTCTCCACCCACATCCATGCAGACTTCGCACACACTCAGCCATACGGGGGAGATAGCCTCAGCTCTCCACGCCCACCACTGCACAGGCGAAAGGCCACCAGCCACTCCCAGGCTTCCTGCCTCCAGCTGGGGATGTGTGTGCCAGGCGGCTCCACAGCAGAATCACAGCTCCTACCCACTGAGTACCCCCTAGATGCCAGGCCCCTCAATGAACAAAAGCTCTGTGAATTATATTCAGGAAGGTCACATGGTGGGCTTTAGGTCAACAATGCTACAAACTGGTGGGGTGAGAACTTGAGCCCATGTCCCCTGATGCACTGAGCTACACCTCTACCCTCTCCAAACACTGTTTACCTGTTCACCCTGTTAGGCACCTGCTGCCTGAGACGAGACACCCAGAAGCTGAGGGCTAGAGGGAGGTGGCTTGCAGGCCCCCGTGCAGCACCGGCTGGGGCAGGCTCTGGTTCCTGCCCCACAGAGCACCTTTCCCAGCTGGACTTCACTGAGATGCTGTCCCCCAGGCAATGCTTTCTTAGGGCATAAAGAGGGACCAGTAAGAAAGGAACTGATTTTATAAACACTTGAACCACATGCCGTGAAGGCAGGGCCAGTGAATTTGGGATTTTAAACAATAGTTTTTCCTTTTTAAAGTCGTAGAAGTCAGTAACAGCCTGTCACATGGCAGTACGGCAGCATGGGGTGGGGGCAGTAAAGTACGGCAAGCACCCTGGCCAAGTCCCGCCCCAAATTCTACAAAAACAAATCTGATTCCAACACCAGCCAACCAAACCAAGGCTCTCACAGGAGGAAATAAACCTGACTGCAGGTGAGCATTTCCATTAGAAAAGGAGCAAAGACTAAAGTTTGGAAAAACAGAGCTCAGGGGGCCTTTGAGCAGGCTGCCCCTCCTCCCATCAGAGGGGCTCCTGGCCCCTCCATCAGAGGGGCTCCTGCCCCTGGGACTGATGCTCCAGTTCATTCAACAGCACCGAAGAGTGAAGTGCTAACAGGAGTCAGGGGGGTATACACAGATATCCACTGTGATGGTTAGGGGTGTGTGTCAACTTGGCTGAGCCATGATTCTCAGTGGTTTGGCAGTTGTATTATGTTGTGATCACTTCCATGATGGGATCTGCTGTAAGCAGCCAATCAGTTGAAAGGGAGTTTCCTTGGGCATGTGGCCTGCATTGAATATAAGTGGACATTCTGGCAGAGCTCGTGGGCTTTTGCTCGCTCTGGATCTTGCAGCTGGCTCCTGTTCATCTGACCTCTGGTTCCTGGGACTTGAGCTAGCAGCTTACCTGCCGTATTGCCTGCTGATTTTGGGATGTGTCGATCTTTGCAGCCTGTGAGCAAGAGCCCTGCTCTCTGACCTGCCCATCTTGGGTTCGTCAGCACCTGTGGCGACGTGAATCAGGGGAAGCCTCCATCCTGACCTACGGACTTGGGATGTTCCAGCCTCTACAACCCCATGAGCCATTTCCTTGATATAAATCTCTCTCTCGCTCTCTTTATGTATATATGTGCTTTACTGGTTTTGCTTCTCTAGAGAACTCAGCCTAAGACATCCACTGAAAAACTCCAACTTTTATCTAGGTTTCAAAATTTTTAAGATACTAAGTGTTGGAAAGAAAAAAACAGGAGGAGGAGGTCTGGCTTGACAGTGCAGGGGCTCAGGGTCTGGGGACAGGAAGAGGCTGGTGGAGGCAACAGGCAGAGCACAGCCCGTTCATGTGTTAAGATGCTACGGGCATAAAATCACCTGGCGAGACGAGCACACCGACTGCCCTCGACAGCGAGCTCACTCTAGTCCAAGATGCTGCTTAGGATTTATTAAGTCCATGCTTCATACAAAAGACATGCTGCCATGACATTAAAATCAAGCAACCCGACAAAGTGCTAATGGGGGGAAGCAGGCTGGAAATGGGTGGTAAGAAAGGAAAGTAAGCTGACCTACAATACAGAAATCTGACCACGCACTCCCCTGCTCAGGGCAGTATCATAATGCCTGGCACCCACGGCAACAGGAAGACTGAGAGCTGCTACAATCCCAAGGCTGGTGACCACCCAGGTGAACCTGGAGTTCCCCCCAGAGCATCTTAGCCAAAGAGCCAACTCTGAGAGACTCAGCAGAGAAAATGCAGAATACCCACTGGAGCACGGCCTGGGCCACAAACATGTCCACCTCGCTGCGGAAGCCCCGTGACGTCGAGTACTCCACCAGCATGTTGGCGCACCCCTCTCCATCGGCAGAGTGCAGGAAGTGGTACCGAGATTCACAATAGTTTTGTTCTGCAGGGGTAAAGAAAAAAACCCATGCATATGCACGCATGAAGATAACGCTCCACACAAGACCGTAACCCCGTCTCCCCCTACTGCCCTTGTGCATCGACTCTCTCCACACCATCCCTCTAGCCTCCTCAAGGCCAGTGGTGGGGCATGTGGACTGTGCTTCCCCTTGAACACACACAGTGGTCCACATGTCTGACTCACCTGCAATGTTCAAAGCGTTCAACACCAAACTAACAGCTCAAAAGGGGGAACGTCACTGTCTTAGTTACCTGGTGCTGCTATAACAGAAATACCATAAGTGGGTGGCTTTAATAAACAGAAATTTATTTTCTCACAGTTTAGGAGGCTAGAAGTCTGAATTCAGGGTGCCAGCTCTAGGTGAAGCCTTTCTCTTTCTGTTGGCTCTGGGGGAAGGTCCTGGTTTCTTCAGCTTGTTTCCTGGTTCCCGGGAGATCTCCATGTGGCTTGGCATCAGTCATCTCCCATCTCTACTTCTCTTTTTTAATCTCTTTTTATATCTCAAGAGATTGACTGAAGACACCCTACACTAATCCTGCCTCATTAACATAACAAAGATAACCCAGTCCCAAATGAGATTATAACCACAGGCATAGAGGTTACGATTTACAACGCATATTTTTGGGGGACACAATTCAATCCATAATAGTCATTCGGCTACTAAATGCCTTGTTTGTCCCAGCTGTGGGAGGCCACTAAGTCTTCTCACATTAACACATCAGGTTGAGCCATAAGAACCTGCTCTTCTCTGACCCTGGTCACCTACAGAAACGGCCACTTCAAATGGATCAACCGGGTACAAACCCTGACACCTGAGCGGTCACACACAGGCACACCTCAATTTGGGTTTTAAAGCCAGGACCAGCTCAGAGGTTGCCTTCCTCCTACAGGGCCATCACAGGCCAGCAAGGGCCTGCCCCACTGCACCCCCTGCCGTGCCCTGTGCTCTCTGCCTCCACTGTTCTTTCTTTCTCACATCTGCTGTCATCCCGTCTCCACTGTGAGGGAAGCCCCCGGGGGCAGCAGACTGTCTACATCTGAAGCCCGGGATGGGTGCCCGGCACATGGTGGGTGCTTGATCGACAGGCACTCATGAGGGAAGGAGACACTCCTCCAGAAGAGGGTCAGAGTCCCCAGGAGAGGACTGACAGTGTACCCTTGAGTCACTAACAAGTGCTGCCTAAGGTGCAGCCCCTCAGCATGTCTGCTAGTGATGGTGACAATGACACCTGTTGGCAACACACTGGACTTCCACCGCAGCTGAGACTCTTGACCCTCAAAGCATGGCCCCGGATAGCAGCACTGGTAACACCTGGAGGCTCGCTAGGGCTGGAGACTCCGCTGTGCAGACCCACTGAAACCAACTCTGCATCCAAACGTGACCCCCGGGAGGGGAGCCATTTACATAGAATATTTTACTTGTGTTTTGTGCCTGAACCAGTACATCACCTCTACAAGCTGTAATATCAAGCATACACGCTTTACGCCCTCTTAACAACAGGGAGGCCTCTAAGTACACACACTCTGCCTCTCCCCGCAAGGGCCAGGCTAGGCTCACGCCTGCCTTCACTGCCCAGCACCCTCTGCAGGTCTCACACAGGCTGGGCAGAAGAGCGCCACCTACTGGCCCAACAGGCTTGTGCAGGCATCCCCACCCATGGCTGAGAACCACCCGGCACTTGCTGCCCCATCCTCAGGATGAACAGGGTCAGGGGTCAGGGCACGGGGTGGGGGGGACGTCACAAGGCCTCAGCTTCTCCAGGAGGGGGTACTTTGCGGGAGACGAATGCAGCCAGATCACTCTAAGGGGAGTGACCCTAACCTTGCAGCCTTTGAATTCTACTTAGATGGAATCACTCACTCTCACACATGTCCCCGTGGCCTGAGGCAGGAAAGAAGTGTGCCAGGACTCCAGTGAGTCCACAAGTCCCATGTGGTCAGACCATCATGGCAGGGGCACTCCAGATCAAGGAGAGAACACAACGCACAGCAGAATTAGCCAGCCCCACACAGAGGGTGGGGTGGGGGCACCGAGGAGGGAGGAACAGCCCCTGAATGGCCCTCCCACCCCCTCTGTCCCCACCTCCCGGCTACTGGGCTCACCCCCTAAGGTATGGCTAGGCCCTCATCCCGATGAGGCCTGACCAGCTGCTGCCCCTGGGGTCCCAGGGCACCCTGGCTCCCCATCACAGTGGCTCTCACCTGCTGCAGCTGTCACCAGTCTCTCCCATGAATGGGGAGACCTAGGCAGGCAGAAGCCTGGTGCGTGGGAGGGATGACAGAGAGAAGTGCAAAAGAGTGGACTCGGGGTTGATGACTCACAGAGAACACAGCAGTTTCATCCAATGATCCAAACACTCAGCAAAGGGCAGCTGCTCCTAGAAGGAGCTTGCCCCTCAGGTCCTGTTTGCAGCATTACTTTGCTCTCATTTCCCAAGGAACTTCTGAATTCCCAGAGCTTCATGCCGACGAGGCTCGGTCCCCATTGCACCCCACCGGCTGCCTCCTGACCCCTTCACCTGATCCTCACCACTGAGGGTCCCCGCCAGGTTTCCTGGGTGACTGAGAAGAGGCACTCATGCCAGTGCTTCAGGCATAGTCCTTGCATGTTCCCCGGAATGTTTGTGGGGAGGCAGCTTTCCAAAACCCTCCTGAACACTAACAGTCCTTCCAGTCACCCCACGACATTTATCGAGCAACTCTTCCTGTACCTAAACAGCAGGAGCCAAGGACGCCAACCACACTGAGCAGAACATCCCCAGCACACCCCTGAGGATCCAGCAGTCCCCACAAACCTTTGATCAGAGAGCGAGGTGGGCGCTAAGAAGGGAAGGAGCATGGGGCCACTGAAGTGCTGGTCTGGGCAGGGGCAGGGGCCCAGGTAGGAGGAGCAGCACGAGCAAAGGCCTGCGCTGTGAGAGCACGGCACCTCTGTGAGGATGTGATTGCTTCACAGAGAGAGAAGGCACCAAGGCGGGGCTGGACCGACAGATGGGACCAGCATGGGGACACCTGTCTTTCCATCCGCCGCGGGGCTTCTCCTTGGAGCGATGGTGACTGAATCAAGAGGTGGCATGAGACTCACATCAGCCAGACAAAGCCTGGCTGTACCATGTCAAACGATCTCTCTGCTCACGTCTGTGGGGGATGACTTCACTGATCAGAAGGGACAATGCGGATGAGAGCCATGGAGTACACACGGTGGCCGAAGGCACAGAAGGGATGTGACTCACTGGATGGTCCCACCCAGCCACGGGGAGCCAGAACTCTGTGGTCTGCATGGTCTGGCTGGGGCATCAACTCTGCCTTCGGGACCCCAGCTCCCTGGCCAGGAGATGTCAGCCCACCCCACGGCCTGCGCAAGCCCTGTCACTATGGGACCCATGTACTCAGGCATGTGCCTACCTTTCCATAGGGTGAGGGCCAGCAGCTGGTGTAGCCTGGGGTGGCCCAGCTTCCCAGACCCGCCCCCGGACCACTTCAGGGCTCGGGACACAAACGCCACTCGCTCTGGGGAGTTGGGATCCATCAAACTGAACAGCTTGGCCAGGTTTCCTGAAACAACAGACACAGACCCATACCCAAGGAACACACTCTGTATGTGCATCTGAAGACCATGAGTTAAAAACAACAATGAGGTCCAACGAAAGCTGAGAAGCACTGGCGTGTTGCTGGCTTGTACTCCCCATGTGCCCCTCTGTGCAGGTGCTGTAAGGGGCGACCTCCCCACTGCAGCGCCAGCAGCCACATGCTCCCAGAGCAACCCCTTTCCTACCTCACTGTCCAGCCCTGCCAGGAGCTGGGTGGAAGGGTGGGTGGGTGGTGGTGGGAGCTGGCCCCCTGAAGGAACACAGCCCAGAGGGGGTCAGGAAGTGAAGCACTTGGATGGGCCCAGACACACAGCCTCCTTCCTCTCCTGGTCAGCCTGCCTACGAGCATCTGAGGAGCAGGGACCCCTCCGGTGTCCTCCCAGCTGCATGCTCTCCGGTCAGGCCGGCCGACAAGCATCTGAGGAGCGGGGACCCCTCCTGTGTCCCCCCAGCTGCATGCTCCCCGGTCAGGCCGGCCGACAAGCATCTGAGGAGTTGGGGCCCCCTCCTGCGTCCTCCCAGCTGCATGCTCCCTGGTCAGGCCGGCCGACAAGCATCTGAGGAGTGGGGACCCCTCCTGTGTCCTCCTAGCTGCATGCTCCCTGGTCAGGCAGGCCGACAAACCACATCCCTGTGACAGCACCCCACCTCTCGGCCGAGGGAATGTCTGTCAGAGAGGCAGGGAAGCCATTTCCTATGCTGCCCCTGTGCCCAAACCATGCTCCACCTAAGACCTCATGGCTGGGCTAAGGGTGGTCCACAAAGAGCTGGGCCAGCAGCAGGCATGATCAGTGAGGCTAGGTGAGTTGACCCCCAGTGTTGAGGTGCCGCACCCTGCAGACCCAAAGCATCAGAACTCACCCAGCAGCTCGTCGGTCACGTCCACCTCTGCCTTCTCCAGAGACTCCAGGACCAGCATGGACAGGTCCGCAGCGCTATTCTGCTACAAAATATACCAATAAGCCAAACAATCAGAAACAGAACTCTGATGTGTATCCAGAAAAGATGAGACAGCTGGTGTGCCCCAATGTGCCGGGTCCCAATAACTGAGAGTCCAGTAAGGGGCAAGGGAAACAACGGGCTGTCGATGCCAAAATGCACATGTACCCCTCCACAGCACAAGGCTGCTGCTGAGGGAGCAGGAAGCAGGCCCAGTGACTGGATGTCTCTATTCTCAAGGCCATAAGGACTGAGAGCGGTCCACCAGGCCCCCATCATTCCCACTTTGATCCTCTGCCCAGAGCAGACAGGTATGAATGGAGAAAAGCAGCCCTGCTTACCTGACCGTGGCTGAAGAACAGCAGCGCCCCTGAGTACATCAGCTCGCGGGCTTCTGTGTGTTTGCCCTGTGACATGTACCTGCAGCAGAAAGAGGCTGGTGAGCGGAGCCAACAGCACACACCACCCCAGGCACGTGCTCTGGAGGCAGAATGCTACAGGGAAAGTTCTCAATAAATGTAAGAGCCTTATAAAAATAAGCATTCCTATGTACATATAGGACATGTAGGTGTGCGTAGCTGCATGTCCACACCTTTTATCAAGAATGGAATCAAAGCTACTCCTGAGCTATGTGAGCTCCACGGGAGAGAAAGTCTCTGTCCCTGACATCTTGCCAGGCAGGAGCTCCCTGGGGGACAGGGTCTCTCCTGCTGCCTCCAGCTCCATGGCAGGGTCCCAGGCCCAGCCCCCATACGGTAGGGAGGGTGCAGAGTGCCTGTGATGACAGTCCTGGTCCCTTCTGCCATGAGCTGGACCCTCAGGGAGACCACCACACCTGGCACTGCTAGGCACCTTGCTGGTCTGCGGGCTTGGCAAGTGCTTCACAGGTAGGGAGTGAGCCTGGCCATGCCACACAGGAAGGACCAGAGAGCAGCCCCTGCCTCCAGCAAAGGGACGGGGGAGGCAGGGTAACTTTGCTCCTCCAGCAGTGGCTTTGCTGGTGGCAGATGTCTGCATGATAGTCGGGAAGGCTCACCATCATGTGAGGAGAGCTGGGAAGGCACATTCATGGTGCAGGTATGGTGCATGCACCAGCATCTCCCCGGGGAGGAAGAACCACTGTGAGGACAGCACTGCCGAGCCCCATGCCTCCCGGGCCCGCTCCCCTTCCCACAGCGGGGCAGGCTGGGCAAGCGCAAGCACTGCCTCTGTCCTGAGCCTTTTCCACTGAGAACTGCCGAACAAATCAAAGGACGCCGGGAGCTGGTTTCTCGGGCTGTATAGGGATGGTGCCTAAAGCAGCCACAAGCCTGGCAGGGAGCTGAAGACACAGAACACAATGACAAGGATGGATGATGATGAGGACAGATGCGTGTGCGCTCAGGAGTGAGGCTGGCCTGAGCCATCTGAGCAGCTCAGGGCCCAGCTTGGGAGGAGAGCTTCCCAACACCCGCGAACCCGGCTCCAGGGCCTCCCGAAGTGTAACGTTAAGTGGAGTCCAGACGTTTTATTTCACTAGCTATTTGTTCATCTTAATGATTATCAGAAAACAAATACACCAGTCAATCCAACCTGCACCTCCCAGCCAAAACTCCACTGGACAAGGGCAAGTTTTAAAAGTCAAATGAGGAAAACACCAAGTACACAAAAGTACGGTGACATAATGACCTGGCAGGCTGTGAGGGGACTCAGTGTGACGGAGTTCGGGAAGACAGAGCAAGTGCAGGGAGGGACATGAATGGTCGGCTCTTCCATTAACCTCAAAAGAACTGGCCCACAACCACAGACAACCAAACGGAACCCTCCAGCCACATCCTGGGCGCACAAGCTACCCCAACAGGGGCCACACTGGGTTGTGTGTGGGGGTAAGCGCTAAGAGGTAAACATCTACACACCAAGAAAGACCACCACCTTGTCAGCCTGTGGATCATCAGCACGAACTTCAGTGTTGTCACAGCCACTCCCAAGACTGGTCACTCAGGTTGTTCTCATATACACATGCACACACATGGATTATCCTCACACACGCACATACACATGTGTGCACGTGCACACACACACACTCCAAGAACTCTGGATGTGGGCCTACGCCTTCACTAGTTTGACACCATGCCAGGGCAATCATCCTAATTCCTGTCGTGGGTCACTTTAAAGCACGGCGCACGTATGTGCAGTGCTGTTACCTCACTCCTAAAGGATCTCAGGGAGAAGCCCTGTAGGTTAGCCTCCAAAGACTCGATGCCCTGGGTGCTCAGAAGCATACAATGCCATGTTGTGTCCGCATGGACATACAGAGAATCATAGGCGCTTATCCCAAGTGATCACCACACAGCTCCCTCCCGCCATGCATGTTCATGACCAGAGTGCACATCCAGGCCTCAGATGCATGCAGTGAGAGAGCTCCATCGTCTCACCCTCAACTGAGCAACCTGCCACTTAAAAACTAAATTAACAACAAAATGCCCATGATAGCAGTCACTGAAGAACTGGTCCAAAACAAGAAGCATGTGCTTATTTTCTGGAAGATCCGGTTCTGCTGATCAGTCATGGGGCAGGCATTTATATACAAACCCCTGAGAGCAGCAGCATCAAGTCAAATCTTGAGAACTACAAAAGCTTGCATCATACAGGTATATGATCGCTATTCTGACTATTGCATCCCTGTCACTGTGTTCTACTCTGATGGCTGGCATGTGGCTGTGATGCTGGAAGCTATGCCTCCAGTATTTCAAATACCAGCAGGGTCACCCATGGTGGACAGGTTTCAGCAGAGCTCTAGACTAAGACGACCAGGCAGAAAGGCCTGCCGATCTACTTCTAAAAATTAGCCAGTGAAAATCTATGGATCACAACAGAACATTGTCCAACTTGCTTGCTTTGGACACATCATCAGGAGGGATCAATTGCTGGAGGAAGACATCATGTTTGGTGAAGCAGACGGCCAGCAAGGGCGAGGGAGACCCTCAGTGAGATGAACTGGCATAACAGCTCCAACGATGGACTTGAACATGCTGGTGATCATAAGGATGATGCAGGACTGGGCAATGTTTCTTTCTGTTGTACACAAGGTCACCTACTGTGAGTTGGAGGTGACTCGATAGTGGCTAACAACAACATTCTGCCTACTGGAAGGCTCAATCTTATGTAGTTTAATGCCTACTTACATGTGTGGCTTATTCCTTGGAGACCAATCAGATTTAAAGGACATCACAAACCATGCCATGTGGAAGCTGTCAATGTTAAATTCAACTAGAATTAAAAACATCCATCACCTATAAACACCAAGCATAAGGACCTGTTTCTGCCAAATGTAAAATTAAATAGTTTTCAACTAAAAGGAAAAGCAAATGAATCTCTTTTCAAACTAACTGAACAGCTGTTTTTCGAAACAGAAAGGCATTCTGTAGCTTGGCTGTTTGTATTTAAAATGTGCCAAGCGTCAATAAACACCAACTTTGGAAACAAGTGATCCTTCAGATCACTGAGGCTCAGAGCAGGGATTAATGTTTTATTGTAAAACTACAGTCAGGGAACCTAATGGCCACTTAAACCCATGGTTCCTAATCCTGGCTGCACCGGGGGAATCTATAAAAATAACATCAAAAATCTCTATAAATAAAGAGACCAGGGCCTCACCCCAGATCAGTCAAATCAGCCAGGATTAACAACAGCTGATTTATACACGCCTGTCTCTTTTCTCTTCATAGCACAAATAAGGGTTTTAAGTAAGGATGTGGTATCCATTATGTAACTAGTTTGGGGACTGGTAATTCCAGATACTTCATCTAGATTACGTATCCTTCTCGATGTGTTAATCCAGTACTCACCTACCTGTATGTCTTGGCAAACAGGATCCAGACACAGAGGCACTACAGAATGTGCTTAACCCAAATACAAATCAGTAAACTACAACCGAGGCAAGAAGTATGTCCAGAGTTCTCCAAATATTGACTCCAACTGCCATTTCAAGGAAATTTTTAAATCTGAGCCTAGACTGTGTGAAGGCCAGACACAGCTGCCCTTAAACATTATACCAAAAAACTCACTGTTCTGTGGCAGTTCAGAAATACATTAAAAAGACTCCACAGAACAAGTTAAATCCTATTAAAATATCACTAAACACCCCCAAGTTCTAACTGGCGGCCAAATCCATAAAAGGTAACAGCTGTGTCAGTCGTTGTCAGTTGATTCAGCCTCCAGGCTACCCTACGTGTGCAGAGCAGAACTATCCATAGGGTTTTCAAGGCTGTGACCTTTCGGAAGCAGATCGCAAGGCCTTTCCTCCGACGCACCTCTGGGTGGGTTCGAACTGTCATCCTTTCAGTTAGTAGTCGAGTGCAAACCAGGGACTCCAAAGGAGAACAGAGATGGCATAACTCACAGGAATGTCTTAAGACACATAAAAACGAATTAAAACGACAGCAGCAGCTGGATCGAAGCAGAAATGTTTTAACACAGCGCGACCCAAAAATAAATGCAAGCCACATAACACCTGAACGTTTCCAGCAGCCACCCCAAAACGCACATATGCGTCATTCAGCCCGGTGTTCCCGGAGTCCCGCGTCAACAGGTAGCCGGTGTCCGAGCGTCACCAGGAGGCGCCCCCAACCCGGGCCGCCGCTTCCAGGTGCCGCACGTGGTGACGGCCCCCACCTGGTCTGCGCAGGTGTAACAAGACCCTCGGGTTTTCTAAAACAGCCGATTCAGCGGCAGACATCGCGGACGGCGCGCCAGGCGAGCAAAGGGACACGCGGGTTTGGACCCCACGGGTGGACCGTCTGTGGGCGGAGGACTCAGGCCGGGAGCCGGACAGGACCGGGCCGGGATCAGGGAGGTGGAGATGGGAGAGCTGAAGGATGAGAAGGAGGAAAAGGACGAGGAGGGGCGGCAGGGCGCGGGAAGCCCTGAGCTGAAGCCCCTCGGCCGGCGACCCGGGCCACTCACCCAGCTCGGCCCCGGGACGGGCAGAGGCGCGGGCCAATGGAAGCACAAGACGCACGGGGCGCGACCAATGGGAGCGGGGGGGCTCTGGGCGCGGCCAATGGGAGGGCGCGGGGCGGGCCCGCAGGCGAGCGGCCGAGGCGGAAAGCCCGGCGGGCCCGGTACCTGAAGAAGAGCGTCCGGTACATCTGGTGGGCCTCGTAGTAGTCGCCCTTCTCGACGCTGGCGCGCAGCTTGCCCTCCACACGCTGGACGCCGCCGCGGTTGCGGGCGCCGTTGCGGGCGCCCTCCTGCTCGGCCATCGCCGCCGCCATAGGGCCGGCGCTCCGAGCAGGCGCTGAGCTGAGGCGGCGCGACCGCGGGCCCTCCCGGCTTCCGTCCGCGGAACGCCGTTACGGTGGCCGGCGGGGAGCGCGGAACCACGTGACCGCGTAGCTCACGTGACCGAACGGTGTCTGTGACCCGCGGATGGGGTCCGGCCGGCAGCGAAGGAGCTGTGTGGGCGCTCACGCCATAATCGAGGGCGCGGCGGGCGGGGAAACTGAGGCCCCGGGCGGGTCAGGGTCCTCGCTACCGCGCTGTGCAGTAGCCGGAATCCCCGGCCTCTTTGCGGCCGGCCCCTGGAGCCCGCTGCACCCTGGAGGTCGGGGCGCTGGCTCCGGTCTCCCCAACCTGGCCACCCCGGCTCTTCTCCCCCTTTACTGGTCAGACAGAGGCTGTTTGAAAGACCCGTCGTTGGGCGGCTGCCCTTCGCGTCTCCCTAGCGTGTTCCCTGGGACAGCCGCCCGCCTCCTTACCAGGCAGTGCCAGGTTCAGAGTGATGACAAAATAAGGTACATACTTGGCGACTGTTTGGGGACAAACACCACCCAGTGTTTACGTTACACCTGTTTCTCTCTCAATGTGACTGTGCTGTACACCTCCCTCTAGTTCATCGCTCTCTAGCCTGGGATAGTCACCTTATCTGGTGTTTAGCTCTAATGACCCTGGAAAACTGAAATTATCATAAATCACCTGTTAAACAGTTTAACGGACCAAATAGGGAATAGAAATAAGGCTCGGCTTTAGCGGTAGAAGTTTAAAAGCAGTTTGATTTGAAGGCCCCGCTGGGTCTCCAGTGTCAGTAGCCCCTTCTTTTTGGCTTTGACTGAAGAGGGGCAGGAGAGCCAGACAGTGCAGGGTGGGTGACTCTTTCCAACTAAAGTCCATTTCCAGCACCTTGGAATGCTGCTTTTGAGTGTGTCAGGTTCACAGAAAGGAACAAGTCAAAGTCCACAATAAAGTCAAACCATTTGCTGAGTGCCAGTTTTCCAATAGCAACACCACATAGAACAGAATATACTATTCCTTATAGTTGAAAAAAGGCAAACCAGAGAGAAGAGGCTTATCTAGAGGTGTCCCTACTCCTCTGCTGTGTGCCTCTGTCTTGAACATTTCTTCCCGCGTTGAATGTGGCTTTGAAGGCAGAGACTGTCTTACATTTCAGCATCTGAGGTGCTAGACCTGCAGGAAATGCTCAAAAATTGTAGAAGAAATTACAGTGTATGTCTGGGGTCAGCAACCCACTGGCCAAATCTGGCCTACCACCTTCAAGTTTTATTGCAACACAGCTACATTCGTTAGTTCCCGTATTGTCTAAGTCTGCTTTTGCACTACAGTGTCAGTATAGTGACAGATTACATGGCCCACAAAGCCAAAAATTATCTGGCTCTTTATAGAAAAAGTATGCCAACCTGTGGTTCCGCTATTCTAGTTTCTAACTTAAAGTCTGGTAAGTAAACATTTTTAATTTTGTAAGTGTGCTTTTTGCCATTCAAATGTAGTCTCATCTCGATCGTTCTCCCCTTTCAAAGGTCAATATTCACAGATAAAGGGTTGATTTTTCTAATAATGCAATATATTTTTAAAACTCTTAAAAACTGGTAAGATAGAAACCACTAACCCAATAGAACAGGAAAATAATAAGCAGTGCACAAAGGAAGTAAAGGGCTTTTTAAACTTATGCTCAACCTCACTCATAATGAGATAAACCTAAATTAAATTACACTAAGAAACCTCTTTTCACCCTAACAGATTCACAAAGACTCAAGTCTAGTCACAAGAGTTCTGGGAGCAGTCATTTTCATTATATCACTGGTCACACTGGGCATAGCCTCCACTGGGCACAGCTGGCTAGTACCCATCAGTTACAGATGCACACTCTGCCAGTAAACTTCGGCTGGAAGGCACTCAATTCTCTTTCTTCGGGTGTTGGCAACTCAGTTACAGATGCACACGCCTGTCTGACCTGCAGTTATCCGCAGGAAATTAACCTACAGATAATACAAGTGTGGTAAGTAAAGCATGTACTTAAGCTGATTTCACCATTGTCTGTCATAGGAAAAAATGGAAACAAATATCCACAAACGGGACTGGCTAAAACGATGTGGTAGATCCAGGCATGGAAAACCATGAGGCTGTTATAAAGGAAAAGAGGAGGAAGTTCTTCAATATGAGATCTCCAAGATATAGATAATTGGAGAAAAGCAAGGTGCACAAATGGGGAAAGTATAAATACATTTTTGCTTAATATGCATACACGTTTCCAGAGGGAAAAACATGGCAGCACCGGCTGCCTCTGAAAGTTAACAAATTGTGCAGAGGTGGGGTCTCTTCAGTGAGTGCTCTCTCCTAAGTTGGTTCTGAACCGAATCAATGCTGCAGATGCGATGTGCGCACAGTCTCCCTGGCCCCAGGTCGGTACTGAAACCACCCAGCCTCTCTCCAGGAACGCTGCTGCCTTCATGCCTGCTCTTTAAACCTGCCAAGCCATCTCCTCTGGCCTGGGACACTCTCCTCCATCTCCCCAGGGCTCACTCCAGGCTCTGCTCAGATACCTCCCGTCAAAGGCCTTTCCCGACCACGTGTGCAGCGCGCCATCCCTGAACAGCTACTGCTCACTTGCTTCCCTTCCTGGCGTGTCTCTGCCTCTCCTCGCCAATCACCCCCACAGTGTCAGCTCCAGAAGGAGGAGGCTTTGTCCTTGCCCACCCATGTGTTCTCAGCACAGTGCCTTGCATACAGTGGGCGTCAGTAAACACTGATGGATTGTTAGAGGCACTAGATTACGTAGTAAGATCTGCTCTGATTACTTTGTAAGAATCATCACAACACGGTGAGACAGGCCCTTGGCGGAATCCTAAGGGAAGGCTTGAAAGTGAGCAGGTGCTGGCACCTGTCATTAGGAACAGATGGCCAGGATGACAGAAATGCCCCATTTCCTCCTCTCTCCCTGTTTCCTCCCCATCAGGCAGCTTCTCACCTATAATGCAGTCAGCTCTCCAGGTGGGCACACCTGGCAGGAAAAGGTGCCGAACACACAGCCTGCAGGCTCTGAAGGGGGGCGCCAGCTAGATCGACACTGCCATCAATGGCAGACCTGACAACTTAGTTGCCTCCTCACCCCCATGGGCAGAAACAAACAAATTGAGAAAAGAAATATACTGTTTATTATTCATTTGAAACATCACATGCACTTTTAAAAATTAAAACTCTTTATTTAAACATCTCAATAGCATCTTATCAATTTGGTGGCAGCAAAAGAAACACTACCAAAGACAAATATCTTGAAAAGCATTTACAAAAATACATTGCACAAAGTCCTATCTTGCATCTTTAAAAATAAATTAATATTCAAAATATTTCCACCCCAACCCCCAAATTTAATTTTATATAGGAAATTTTGATCTATACATTTAACCTATAATATATGAAACATCTGTACACATTTTATCCAACTTAACTGCATAGGCATTAATTCTAATTCTGAGTGAAAAAAATGCTATTTTATGTGATTCTTACATATTTGAGGACTGTTGTGCAATATACATAAAACTGTTCAGAAAACCAGTCAGCACCATCATTTTTGCTTTTTCTGAAAATACAACATCTACAGTACACCAAAGCTGTCTTAACCCAATACAACTTAAATAATTTTAAAGGTAAAACATCTTTAAAACTTTAAGTGCCTTGCAGATATTTATAAATTTCGTTGAGTAAAGTAGTCTATATGTTAAATATTAACCACGACCAAAATGGGTTTCCAAAGAACAAGGTGAGAGTGGCCAGCAGCCATAGTGAGAGGCAGATCCCGATTAGAGCGAGTAGAAAATGCTGCTGTAAGAAAAAGGACAATCGTAAAATGAATGGTTTCATGCGCTTGCCACAGTGGACAACACTCTTTTGAAAACCATCAGTGGACTAAAAACTCAGCCTTATAAATTTTAGAGCACATTAGTGTTCCCTTTGTAGCAAAATTCAAAACAAACCTGGAAAAAATCCGAACGATGAGATTCTTGGTTCCAATCTGTACTTGGAAGTAAAGCTCCAGGGTAATCCCAACGGGACTCGAGACTTCCATTATGTTTGTTTCCATCTAGACCAGCCCCTTCACACCAGACTCACCAAAACCTACAATGAGAATGGAGCTCCTCCTGTTCTGGACAGATACTAGTGCACTGAATCCCCACTCTGAAAATCCTCAGAAGTAAGCACAAACTAAGCAGAAAAACAAGTTTTAATTGTCCCCCCACCTGGTAGTGTAAAAGAACTGGTGCTGAAGAAAGGAAAAGCCCCACCCGAAGGAAAGGTGCTTAGAGCTCTGAAATTTGGTGACACTGTTTTTCCCTGAAAGAAATGTGTGTTGGATTTAACAGATGGAGCATACCTGGCCCCCAAAAGTCCTTTAGAAGGTCTAGTGAAAGGCTAAATAACAAAACTTTGAGAACACTTCAAACCTTGTAACCTCATTTGCTTTGTTCCTGATGTCAAGAAAATACAAATATAAAGAGCTTTATGTTCAAAAAAAATCCCCAGAACAAACTAAGTGTACCATACATCCAGAGGAATGTCCACAGAGGCAGCTGTCGCCAGGGGCTCTGTGGACAAAGCATCTAGCACGCAGGTGTCCTGGCACCGGCATCGAAGACACAAAGTGGACGCGACAGCGAGCTGGGCACCAGACCACAACCGGCCTTTTGGGCGGTCTGGGAATGTTTATTTGGGGTGGCTGTGTCCTGTGACCAAACATGCCCTCAGCCTCGAGGGCTCCAGTGTTCCAGGCAGTCCTGTATCTACAAACGTACAGGGATGTGAGCAGGGCCTCTACTTGATAGGATCTCCGTGAACCCTGAACCGATAGAGACATGTGTATTCCAGATGGCCCCAGTTAGAGAAGATCCGAAGTTCCACGATTTGGAAAGCTTTTTCAGGTCTTTTCTGAAATCAAGGAGGGGAGGAAAAAAAAATCACACTTATTTCATGTTAATATCCCAAGCCCAGTTACTTCCCTGACTATGATACTGGATAGGAAACAGTTAAGTTAGAGATTAAATTCTTCAATATGAACCAAGTCCTCTGTGACAGCACAGGAAGTGCAGCAGCCCTATGAGATATCATCATTAGCTACAGATTCTCTTAGTTTCAATACACATGACATGGTTACATATAGCAAAATTATATACTAAAAAGGCTCATCAAGAAAAAAAGCTAAAAGCTCAGGTTAATTTCTTTTCAAAGGTTGATCCTCATGCTACTTCTGACAAGCTTACTGATGTTGGCTGGGCCCTGCTGACACGAGGGAGACCAGGGGCCCAGGAACCAAAGACAAGTGTGTACCACCGGGGCCTTACCAGTGCATGGAACATCTGGAGTGATTCCCCATCTTGATCATATGTAAACTGTCCCAGAAGCAGCCCTTCTTCTTGATACTCACTTTCCAATCCCTGAAACCAAGAGCATATATCATGAAATAATGGGAAAATAACAGAGTTGGTTAGGATTGTTTCTCTTCAACATTAGTTAGGAGAGGTTACAGAGCTACTGATGCAGTCATAATTCCTTCTTTGGAAGGACTGCGTCATGCTAAGCATTCTATTAAGTGCTTTATATCTGTTATCCATTTAATCCTCACAACAACCCCATGAGGTATTATTACTCCCATTTTATAGATAAGGCAAACAGGCTGGAAGAAGTTAAGCTAATGAGAAGAGACTGACTGACTCCACAGACCAGCCGTTAACTAGAACGTGCACAGCTCTTCTCTATGCTCTAAATGAAAACTGGGGCTGACTCACTGTGGACATGAGACCATCAGCTGGGCCTGAAGGACACTCACACCTGAACCTGGGGCTGACGCACTGGGGACATGAGACCATTGACTAGGCCTGAGGGACACGCACACCTGAAGGGGTCCCTGAATGAAAGGACTACACACACACACACACACACACACACAAAGTCAAATCATTAAAAACACTAGTCATAAACATAGGCAAATACTTGAACGTCTGTTTCATAATAAGCACAGACTCTAAGTATTAAAAAAAGCCACGGAAGAAATCACAAGTAATGAGCAGGCATCACTAAATGCAGAACTAGGAATGACACTGGGAGATGTGTCTAACAAGGTGACACATGACTAACATTCATATATTAAAAAGCTCAAATAAGGAACCTACTTGATCCTAAAGATAAATGGACAAGAACAGAATCTACAAAAAAGGAAACATGCATGCACAATGCATAAAAACGCAGACTGAAATAAGATACCATCTTTTACCTATCATGTTGGCAGAGACTGAAAAGAGAAGGCTGAATCTTAGAAAGGGTACCGTGAGATAAATAACACTTCTCATGTACTGCCGGGAGAAAGGCTCATCACATACAGTGCAGTGAATCACAGCCTAAAAAATGCCCACACCCCTGCAACAGGAATTCCACTTCTGAGTATCTAGTCTACGGAAATAACTGAAGATGCAGAGATGTCACAGTCACCCTGAAAAATGGATATATTCAACACTGGGAGAAGTGGTAAGGGAAATAAGGACTTAGCCATACAATGGTCTTTTGTACATCATTTAAAGATGTGTATAAAGAGTTTAATTGCCATGGAAAAATGCTTACGGTAAAAAATTTTTTAAAGCAGGAAACAAAATTATATGAACAGTATTGTCTTATCTGTATTTTATAAGGGGGAAAAAAGAGACTAGAAAAAAATACAATATTAATGGTGGCTTTCTCTGGGTGCTGGGATTATGGGTATTCTTTTTCCAATTTCTTCATTCTTTTCTGTAAATTCTATTAATCAAAAAGCAAAATTTACTTTTTGTCACTTAGTTGCTTCAACATTACCCAGCTGTCTGAACGCTATTTAGAGCTGAACAGACCAGAGTGATGAAGAAATAAAATACTCAGTCAGACAAGCTTAACTGGATCTGTTTAGCATGACATACAACTGAGACATTGATTAATATACTACTTGTAAGTTACCCTCTCTGGAAAAGGTACTCAAATGTTTCCCTCAACATTTCATCATCTTACTCAGAGTATCAGTGGGCAAAGAACAACAATAATATCTGAAAAAAGCGCCTGGCAGATGTACCTGAGTCATTCACCTTTACCGTTCACCTTTGTAAAATTCCCAGGAAGGGACAGAAGAAGAGAAGTGTCCTTTAGTCACCTGGCCAAACATACTCACATATACTGCGAAGTCCTTGGGCGCGCTGGTGATGTTGCCTGTTGGCGAGAGCGTCTTTGGTATGTGCTCCAGAGTGAAGGTGGTCGGGAAGATGGTCATTGACAGCCTCACCACCAAGTACCCCTGGGAGCCTTTAAATGCCCAGCAGTTACCAGGATAGATGTCAGGCTGGGGAAAAACAAAGTACTCAAGTCTTAAGAGACTGAACAAGCTCTTAACCGCTTTAAAAAAAACAGAAGCAATAAGAGAAAAGACTGATAATACTGAAATAAAAAAAATGTTGGCATGGCAAAAATCATCATAAGCAAAAAAATCAAAAGACATACTGGAGAAAGGCACTTGCAACTTATATGCCAGAGGGTTACTATCTCCAATAGGTAAGTAAGTTTTTATAAAAGTGAAAATAGCCAAAACCTTACAGGAAAATGGGCAAAAGATACAAACATGTTTCAGAGAAAAATGAATATAAGTGGTCCTCAAACATACGGAAAGATGCTCAACCTGACATAATAATGAGAAAAATACAAATGAAAATGACAGAGTGACCACTTCTCACACATTAAATTGACAACGATCCCAAAGTCTGACAACATCTGCTGCTGTCAACCATGGGAAGGGAGCGCGGGGTGGAAGCCGGGCCTCTCTCTGAAAGGGCCTGTGTATTTGGACCTTAGAACCAAGTAAGTATTTTATATAATTAAAAAGATTTCTAAGAAAAACAGGCAATCTCTAAGAATAGAAAATGGAAACAAATGACTCTTAATAAATACCAAGTTGGTGGCAAAATCACAGACAAGTATCAAGTGACTTTAAATACAGCATCTGACCATGTAATTGAGCAATTGGAATTAACATTAGTATCATTAGTTTAAAAAATATATACCTAGAGAAAAGAAGTTATTATATGTTAATGTCATTAAGAATCAAGATTTTCAACATGTAAGAAAAGAGATACAAGTATAAAATTAAAGAAGTAAAAACCCTGTCATCTTTCATTTGAATTGGAAGTGTCAGTGTGGACTCATGATTTATTTTCCTCTTTCCAAATACACACACTCTTCCTTCTGTCCACTGAAAAGGTTTTTCAGCAGTGAACCCTCTAGTGACAAGACTGTAGTTTCTAAATGTCATTCCTGATACTAAAAGAAACCAGGGCTCCTCAGAGTAGTGGCTGATTCAGCTTTCGCGGAGGACGTACACATGATCCTCCCGGGACACCTGTGGCATTCTGGGGCTGTGTCAGAGGACAGTGGCCCACAGGAAAAGGATCCCACTGACCAGAGATGGGACAATTTGAGCAAAAAAAGAATGTCAGAAAATGAGTTAAAACACATAACATACATAACACTCTGTTAGTTCATGATACTAAAAAGCAAAAACAAAGAACCTCCATTGGTCCCTCTATAACGGCACAGTTGAGCAGTTGAGACAGAAACCATATAGCCCCCGAAGCCTTTGGAAGCACTTACTGTCTCCTTTTCACCACTGGCAGTTTGGGGCTGTTACAACACCCTCGGACATGTCCCTGGTGCATATGGCATGCATTTCTGCTGGATATGCCCACAGTTTAACTGTTGGGTCACAGGGCATGTACAATGTGGGATATTTATTAAACAGTTTTCAAAGTGGGTGCACCAATTCATCTTTCATCAAGACTGTGAGATTCCAGCTGACCCCATCCTTGCCAGCAGTGTGATGGTGTGTCGCTGTGGTTCTAATTTGTACTCCTCTGATAGTGAATGAGGTTGAGTACCACCTTATATACTTGTTGGCTATCTGGCTATCCACCTTCAGTGAAGTGGCTGTTCAAATATCTTCCCATTTTTCAAATAGGCTGTCTCTTTTTCTTACTGATTTGTAGGAATTCTTTGTTGGATATCTTTATTGTGAATCTCATGTCTTCTGATGAACAGACGTTCACCAGTCCTCTTATCAGACTGAGTAACTTCTCTTCCAGACCTCCAGCCAGGCAACCAAGGGACCAGGTACGAAGTATCAGCTTTACTGATAACTCACTCATGCAATACTCACTTAATCTATGATTTTTCTGTTTTAATTGTACTTTGATGAAGGTTTACAGAACAAACTAGCTTCTCATTAAAGTTAGTACACAAATGTTTTATGACACTGGTTAACAACCCCACGATGTGTCAACACTCTCGTCCTTGGCCTTGGGTTCCTTATTACCAGCTTTCCTGTCCCCTCCGGCCTTCTAGTCCTTGTCCCTGGGCTGGTGTGCCCCTTTAGTCTCATTCTGTTTTATGGGCCTGTCTAATCTTTGGCTAAAGGGTGAACCTCAGGAGTGACTTCATTACTGAGCTAAAAGGGTGTCCGGGGCTACACTCTCAGGGTTTCTCCAGTCTCTGTCAGGCCAGTAATTTCGGTCTTTTTTTGTCAGAATTTTGTTCTACATTTTTTTCCAGCTCTGTCCGGAACCCTCTATTGTGATCCCTGTCAGAGCAGTCAGCGGTGGTAGCGGGGCACCATCTAGTTGTTGTGCTGGACTCAAGTCTGGTGGAGGCCATGGCAGTTCTGGTCCATTAGTCCTTTGGACTAATCTTTCCCTTGTGTCTTCAGTTTTCCTTATTCTCCCTTGCTCCCAAAGGGATGAGACCAGCAGAGTATCTTAGGTGGCTGCCCACAGGCTTTTAAGACCCCAGACACTACTCACCAAGGTAAAACGCAGAATATTTTCTTTATAAACTATGTTATGGCAATTGAGCTACATGTTCCCCAAGACCATGGTCCCCACAGCCCTTAGCCCAGTAATGTGGTCCCTTAGGGAGTTTGTATGTGTCTATGGAGCTTCCATGACCTTGCCTTGTACAAGTTGTGCTGGATTCCCCAGTATTGTGTACTGTCTTACCCTTCACCAATCTATGAATTCTGTAAGATGGGACTTGTTCAGTGAAAAACAGCTATCATGTGGATGTTTTCACATTATATTAGGCAGCATTTGCTACTGAGGTAAAATGAATGTATCTGACAAATTAAATTCTTCACCCTGTAATCCCCTAAATGTGTACAACCAACAATATAAAGTAAAGCCACGTGAGCAGCAGTCACACTAAGAGGAATCATCAAAAGGCACTAGAGAGAATAGAAGCTAACAGCCCCTCCATCCGCTGGGAATGCCACAGAGCACGTGAAATGAAAGGAGGAGGGGTGTTCCTCATTATGCTAATGATGCCTATCCCCACCTGTCCTGTCTGTAACAGGAAGAGAAGGTACGCTGACACTCTCACCTGGACCACCTTCACTGGTGAGAATGAGCAGATGACAGCAACTCCATCACAGCACCATGGGTGGTCTCACACAGAAGACACAACTCCCTCTGTACCAAGTTCAAGCAGAGTGAGTTTATGGTCCTAGGAGTCAGTCACCATTTGAGGCGGACAGTCATGGCTAGCAGAGACCAGCAGGGACATGGAGAGTGCCGACCATGTCCCGTCCCCTGGTCTGGGGCTGCATTCCCCTCTGTGAGCAATCACGGGGAACCCCTCCCAGGTGTGTCCCGTCTGTGAGTGTTCAGGGAGCCACACAGAGGGTCTGCACACTGCTTTGTGTGTGTGTTACCCCTTAGTAAGAAGCTAAAGAAAGCATCGACACCCTGGTCAGGGCTGGTACCTTGGTTCCATTTGGGGCCTGAACAGCCATGCAGCAGAGTTCTGAGGCACGCTGAAAAGCACCTATTTAAATCCACAGGCCATGTACTCACCTGAATCACAACACGAGGAGACTGGGAGAAGTACCACAGTGGGATCCCAAACAGACTGATCAGTGCCGTTTTGGTTTCATAAGTTTCAGAGCAACGTGTACTCAAGATGCTGCCACCTTAAAGCAAAGTTTAAATTTGTTTCACTGTCTGTTCTACCATTTTGAAAGCAATGGTAATTACCCATCTTAGAAGTTTATCTTGGGGTTTTAAAAATTCTCAAGTTTTTAAGATGGTGGAGTAGTCAGATGCTTCCTGTGGTCCCTCTTACAACAAAGACCCAAAAAAAACAAGTGAATCGATTATGTATGACAATCTAGGAGCCCTGAATATCAAAAGCAAAGTTGAGGAACTGGACTGAGTGGCAGGGGGAGGGAGAGACAGTTCAGAAGCAGCAATGAGTTGCCAGACTGACCTAGAGGGAACGGGCACGCTGCAGGTTGGATCAGCTGACATGTGCAGTGAGGCAAGCAGTGGCGCTTGGGATGCGTTTACCATATCGGGAGAGACTGAGGGGCAGAGAGTCTACTCAAGCCTCCAGAACCAGTGAAAAGTGGTGCTCAATCAGCAAAAGATAAGTACATGCGTCTAACTTACCGCACGGATCAGAAAACAACCTCTTTGGGAAGAACCTCTCTCCCACTTACTTACCCCCTCCCCACTCTGCACCAGGCCCCAGGCTGGCTTCAGCGATTGCCGATTGCCGAGTCCCTTGGGCTGGAAGTAGGACCCATCATGTGCCCTGAACCATTATCCCAGCCTTGGAGAGGGAACAAATTAACCAACAGGAAAAAATAATCTGCCAGCTCCCCTAAGCTGGGAACTCAGGGTAGGCACAGATCCTTTGCCTAGGCACAGGCATAAGGGGTCCATGGACTTTGAATGCCTTTCACCCCACATAGACCTGTGTGGGCCCATCTCAACAGCACAGGCCTTCATTACCACAGTACAATGGGGTATATACCTGAAGCCTAACTTCAACTGTATCAGCTATATGGTGGAGTAGTAGGTTCATGACATTTGACACTGCTCTGCCCATTAAGCAGTGTCCTCACCCACCCACATCAGGGGCCTGAGGACTAGTAGCTCCACCCACGCCACCTAGCCACCCACGACAGGGTTCCAACAATAAGTGGTGCCTCCCAGTCCTTACAGCCAACAGCATTGGGTACCCATAGTCCAGCTGCAAAACCCACCTACCTACGCGCTCTAGGGAACAGGGACACGCTTTCCTCCCAGACACTCAGGGGCAACTGTCAGCCCCCTGCCTTGCTCAGTGTGTGACCCCCTATTGCAGCCAGATACCTGTGCTGACTCCAATCACTCCTGCCCATCTAGGACTGTAGGTGAAAGCCTGCACCACACACTTGGTGACTAACAACCTGGACACCTGAGCTGAATCCATACAAGAAAAGTAAACGGACTCCTGGGCTCACATACCTAGTAAGGATCTAACCACCTGGTGACAGGACGTGAGACTTCAAAGGTGCCAATAATTAAACTATCTCACATGAGCAGCCTATTTGCGCATATCAAAACAAAACGAGAAGCCAGGACACAGTAAGCAAACATTAAATAAATAAATGTAATAACTTATTGATGGCTTGGAGACAACAGTCAATATCAAATCACATAAAGAGGCAGACCATGATGGCTTCAGCAAGCTCCCAAAACAAAGAATCAAGAAATCTTTCAGAGGAAGAGAACTGCTTGGAATTACCAGAGGTAGGATACAAAAGATTAATATACAGAACTCTTCAAGAAATCAGGAAGATGATGCAAAATGCAGAACAAAGCAATAGAGGAACTTAGTAAGATTAGAGAAGAGCATAATGACAAATTTAACAGGCTGCAAGAATCCACAGAGAGACAGCAAACAGAAATCCAGATTAACAACAAAACTTCAGAATTAGACAACTCAATAGAAAGTTATAGGAGCAGAATTGAGGCAATGGAAGTCAGAATTAGTGAAACTGAAGATAAAGCACTTGATACCAACTTATTTGAGGAAAAAATCAGATAAAAATTCTCAAGTTTTTAACTTGTACAAAAAACCTTCTAATTTAAGGCCAACCCTATTCTAACAAATTTTGCATTTTCAAACCCATGTTGATAGTTTGCAATTGCTTTAGGATACCCAATTTGTACCTACTGAAACTGAAAAATTCTTAAAATACTAGCCTTTTCCCCCTCCCTCACAAGAACTGATGATTCTTCATGACTACAGGGACGGCTGCTTTGATGAACTTGTATTCTCAGTAAGAATCCAGCCAGGTAGCAGTGTTACCTGGTAGAGAGTTCAGAGGGCCTACTTAACAGGCCAAAATGATACAGTATTATGACAATTACAAATGAAAACAGAAAAGGCAAGGGGGAAGAACTGCGGTGACTGCTAACATGTATGGGGGTTCTTTTTGGGGAAAGGAAATACTCCCAAATTAGACTGTGGTGGTGGTTATACAACACAGTGAATGTGTTAAATGCCACTGAATTATATACTTTAAAATGGTGAAACTTACATTATGTGTGTTATATCTCAATAATAACCGTAACATAATAGACATTTTTAAAAGTTCCATTTGTCCCTCAATAGGAAACAGCGCAGACAGGATGTTGGAGCCACAGCAGGCCCATGAGATCCAATCCAGCTGCTGCAGTTAAGATGCACGTCTAGCCCTACACTAACCATATCACCGATTTCCTACGCTACTGGGGAAAGCTGAGTTAACAGTGGTGGGTTTCACAACTTTGCTGCTCCTGCAGGACTCCCAGGCCCTTTATTTTATGTCATGGTTTGAATTATGTCCCCCAAAAAATGTGTGTATTAATTTGGCTAGGCCATGATTCCTGGTACAGTGTGATTTTCCTCTATGTTGTAAACCTGCCTCTATGATGTTAATGGGGAAGGATGGGTGGCAGTTGTGTTAGTAAGGCAGGACTGGATCTACAAGACTGAATTGTGTCCTGAGGCAATCTCTTGAGATATAAAAGACAGAAGTGAGCAGAGAGACAGCAGGACCTCACACCATCAAGAAAGCAGTGCCAGGAGCAGAGCGCATCCTTTGGACCGGGGTCCCTGCGCCGAGAAGCTCCTAGTCTGGGGAAACACTGATGAGAAGGCCGACAGAGGGAAAAAGCCTTCCCCTGGAGCTGACACCCTGTATTGGGACTTTTAGACTACTTTGATTTTGAGGAAATAAACTGCTGTTCGTTAAAACCATCCACTTGTAGTATTTCTGTTATGGCAGCACTAGATAAATTAGACAATATACTAAAAGTATTAAGAGAATTCTTCTCTCCCAAGGGAACATACTGGTCCACCAGCCCTCAACTGCACCTCCTAATTTTAAAATGTTCTGAAAACCAAGACTTTCTGTAACACAGCAACAAAACCTGACCTGAACTGACCTGAGATCCTTTCGTCTTTATCTCATGTAGTGTGAACAGGTGTGTTTCATTGCAGAAAAGGGGGTACCGGCCAAGATCTCACTGAGGTGTTCTGGCACCCCCCTAAACCACAGTTCTGATCCTTACAATACACCCGGACAAGGGGTTTTGCACCTGTGGTATACTGCATTCCCCAAACTGGACTGGTCAGAATTCTCTCTTTCAATTTCTGGAGAAACCAAGGTAGTGCTGCCTCCTTCCCCATTCTGTTCATGTAGTGGCTCTGTGGCAGAGGTGGCACTCATTGCTACTTGAGACTCTGTTGTGGCTTATCTCTGTCTCTCCCACGGGAACGTAAGCTCCTGGAGGCAGGGCTTGGTCTGGCTCACCAACGTCCCCTGTACTTACGAGTCCTGCACCCACAGGCATGTAAACTGAAAACGCACGCACAGAACCCCCAGGAGTGCCTACACAGCCTGTATCAGAGTGTTCGTGCTCTGTGGGGTAGGCTGAGCACCGCTGCCCTGGTGTCAACCTCGTCACTGGACTTCTGTGTTAAAGCTGATAAGCGTTACAACACACATCAGAAATAATCAATCCCCCAGTGTTTGTGGTGGTAAATCCTGACATAGCTAGATGAGCCCAAGAGCTGCTGAAATTCCCCAAACTGGGCTTTGCAGCAGCTTACGCCTGCCACCAGCCCTTCTGGGGGACCTGACCATGCCCAGAAAGCAACTGAGTAGGAAGAAAAGCCATAAGGGACTCACCCAGAATAACATTCTTTTCTCAGACTTTTTAAAATTTGTAATAAGTTCCTTACTTCTCAGGTTTATGACTCTGCTAACAAGTGACCATTTTATTTTTAGCAATTAACACATCCATTCACTTACCACCAGACTCCAGAGCAAAGTCTACCATGCCGGTTTTATCTTGGGAATACAGCTTCAAAGCATTGTTCACAATAATGCGTGCTTGCTAGAAGTGGAAGATCAGAATGGAGAGGAGACATAGGTTTAATGACACGCAAATTAAAGCCAGATAGTTAAGTAAAAACCCGCTGCTGTCGAGTTGATTCTGACTCATAGCATCCCTATAGGTCAGAGCAGAGCTGCCCCATAGGGTTTCCAAGGCTGTAATGTTTATGGAAGCAGACTGCCACATCTTTCTTCTGTGGAGCAGCTGGTGGGTTTGAACTGCCAACCTCTCAATTAGCAGCCAAGCATTTAACCACTGAGCCACCAGCACAATTAACCGTACTTTGGGGACTGAGAGGCATGGTGGCACTGTTCCAGAAATCCCAAACCCCCATCAGCACCCCTGACCATGAGGGCCACCAAACTGAGTCGGAGACAGGAGAGCCGTCTCACGTGGGCGCAGACACAATGAATCCCCAAGCCAGAGAAATCCACCATGAGTCTTAAAACACGACCATAACAAGGGTCAGGGTGAGGGGCTGTCACAGGGTACTACATACTGGGGAATTTCTACCTAATTTCAGAACTGCCACCACACAGGGAGTGGAGGCAATGAGACAAAAGGAGTCCCAAAGCAGAAAGTCCTGCCAAGAAAGAGTTCAACAGTAACAACAGCTACAACTTATTGAGCAATTGCCTTACTTTATGGCAGATACCATGTTAAGCACCTTTCAAATTATTTGACTTGAGCCTAACCACAACCCTCTGATCATCGATCCCATCACTGCCTGGATTCTAAGCACCCATCATGCCCTACTCACCGCCTCTGTGATCCCAGAAACCCCTGCCTCGTGGACGGCGGACACCACTGCTTCGGAGGTGGGGGCCTGTTTTGTCACGGAAATGTGGTGGGTGATGTTCTTCAGGATCTGCAGCTCCAAATCTTGCAATAAGATCTGCAAGTCGTCCTTGCTTACAAACTGAGAGGAAAACTTCTGTAGCAGCCATTCAAGAGAACCATCTTGCTGGTCATCGGAAAACATGAGTCTGATCGTCTCTCTGACTTGGGTGTCCACCTGATAAAATCATTAGTCATCATGCCATAAATTTAGTTTTAGTTACATCACTTCAACTCTTCACATTCTCCACCTCAGATACCTCAGAACCATCACACCGCGTCTCAAATTCCATACGTAAATGTGACAAAATTTTTCCTTCATGTTAAATCTTAAGAACCCCTCCAAAAATGCTGCACAATTTAAAGAGGACAGGAATAGAAATAAATCATGTGGGCCGGGAACTAAAGACAGAAGAAGATATGTCCACTTGTTCAGCTGAAGTGATTCCACTCAACATTTACTCAGCTCCCCCAGGGGTGAGTCCTGGGAAAGAAAACAGTCCCTTGTCTTCAACACATTTGGTCTGGCAAAGGAAACAGCTGTATAAACAAACTTGAAATGTAACTTTATATATGTTAAGTACATCCACGTGTGTTAATGTACAAACACACACACACACACACACACACACAGAGTCATGTATATAAATTTCTCTTGCCTGATGAGGAATGGAGTAAGGGGAGGGGCACAAGAAAGAGCACAACACTCTGCAGTAACACACGTCCCCAGCGCCGACTCACTGTCTTAAACAGCGCCACAGCACCCACAGCAGGGGCCACCCTCGATGTCCAGCCCTGCCCAACACTAACTCCACACACTGAGTCCCGCCTGATACCCTCTTGTCCTGGTGCTTCTGTATCTGCAGACAGAGCCCCAGAAATGTGACTGCTGGTCTCAAAGCACAGATGCATTTTTAGGTGATTAAAATCATAAAATTTTGTTCCAAAAAGGGTGGAGCCACTCACATCCTGCCAGCCTCGAGAACACCACCTCCCCACCTCACTGAGGCACTGACCGCTGCCCATCTGAGGGCTGAGATGTGGGCACTCTAACTCACAGACCCTGCTGGTGAGACTGGGCTCCCTGCTCATAGGCCGGGCCCACGCTTCTGCTGTTTGTCCTCCTACCAATCTTAGGAGTTCTTTGCATTTTAGAGAGAACATTTTACCACGTGCTGCAAATACTTTTCCTCAGTCTACTGTGTGACTTTGACTTATGGTGACTTTTGCCATTCATTTTTTTTCTTTCCATTTCTATGCAGCTATAAATATCTGTATTTTCTCTTCTGCTTAAGGACAGACGGGCTTGATGGAATGCCCAAGATATGACATGAGAAAAAAAAAAAAAGCAAGCTACAGAGTGCAATACAATTCCATTTTGGTGAAAAAATGCACAAAAACACCCACTCCCACCTCAAATAAATGGTAGTACACGTTTACGTGCCACAAGGGAAGTATGGGAAAAGAGTCACCTAAGTGTTAACATGTTATGTTACTGGAATGGGAGGAATCTGACGAGAACCAAATTTATTATTCTGAGATTAAAAAAAAAAAAATCAAATATAGTAAATGTTTTTTAAAAGAAAGTGAAAATTAACTTAAACATAACAGCTCAAGTTCTCCTTCACTCTCTGTTACAAAAACAAAATGTAAACACTGAGAAACTTACCTTTTCATGTATTGTATCTACTTTCTCACAGCTAGTCTTCAAATTCCGCCAGTTTGCCAATTCTGACTTTAGGTGCTCCAGCTGCAGCTCCAGCTGCCTGACAGTGGAGAGGAGGTGCTGCTCCTCTGCAGTCCTGCTGGAAGGTAAATGGACAGGTCAGTTGGGGTGCCACAGGTCCCCACGCCTGAATTAACACATTCCATAAAGACAGCAGAGAAGCAGAAGCCCTCCCCAGATACGTCTATCTCACGAAGATTGCAATTTGTCCAAACTTAATGTGGAAATTTAATACCAGTTTCAAATTGAAACCCCAAGGGGAGTCCTCTCCACATCAGTTTAGATACGCACGCACACACACACACACACACACACACACACCACAAAGGCAGGACGTCTACCAAAATGATAGAAGAGTGGCTATCATTTAGTGCTGGGTGAAAGAGTGCCCTGAAAACTATAATATTTAAAAACTGTATCTGTTGTTTGGTGCTGTCGAGTTGATTCCGATTCATAGCGACCCCATGTGGCAGAGTAGAACTGCCCCACAGGGTTTCCTAGGCTGTAATCTTTATGGAAGCAGATCACCAGGTCTTTCTCTCGTGGAGCCACTGGGTGGGTTCAAACTGCCAATCTTTTGGTTAGTCGCTGAGGGCTTAACCACTGCACTACCAGGGCTCTTCAACTAATATCTACAAGCTGTATCTATCTCCTTGAAATCATAAATAAGACTTCAGAAATGAGCCAGTATTTACCCAGAATCATAAAGATGGGTCTCAACTACCCATGAGGTAGAAGGGACATTGCACTGGACATACATGGCCTTAGGGCTAGCTTTAGCAGTTCTATTTTTCAGAGGAATTGTGTATCAGACACTGTAGTGCTGTGCTTGTATCTGTTTATAGGAAGGCGTGGTGGCCCCCGAGGACCTGACCAGGGTGGGAAGACCCTCCTCGTCATAGCAGAGGCACCATCGTCCGTGGGTGGTCGTAAGAGGTTTTCCTGCTGCACAGAGAGGTGCGTGGTGACAAGCCCCTCAGGCTGCCCTCCTCCCCTCTGTGCCTCCACAGGGGCCTCCCAGACAGACAGACAGTGAGCTGGGACCCAGAAACCCAGGAGACACTGGGGATGAAGGAGGTGTCAGTACCTTTTTAATTATCACTGTGGTGCCAAGCAACCAGAGAGAAAACAGAAGACAAAGACAGAGCATATTTGATGTAATCCTACCTAGTTGTTCTCAGCTTGGTCTGCTCTAACTCTTTCTGGATGACCTAAAAAGTGGGAGAAACAATCTGTTTAAACACATAAGTGATAGATTAACTTTTCACAAATCAGCTACACATATTTATCTGGGATTTGTTTTCTTAATTCACAGTCCAGACCTGCCTGTGGTCCCTGTTGGTCCCCCCAAGGCCACTGCTTGCAAAATAACATGGGGACAGATGTCACGTCCCTGGATGCTGAGGTCGGCTTCATGGCTGGATGTCTTCTGAAATATGCACCTGGGTGTGTCTGCATCTGACCCCACCTCAGGAGGGGGCACCAACCCACCACACCCCACCCCGGGAGAGGGTGTGAGCTATTTGAATTCAGGGAGAGAGAGAGAGGAGGCAGTGGGCACCGACCAGCCTCACCCCACGCCAGAGCAGTGGGCACCAACTGTGGCCGACTAGGTCACAAGACACCTTGGAATTCATGAGCAAGAGAAACATATTAAACAGTAAAAGCAGTAAAATGGAACTGCCAAGGAAAAAAGGGGACAGTCAGAAATACCTTTTGTCAGTTTCATAAGGGACAACAGCAAATACTCTAAGAGAAAGAGCTTTAAAGAGACAGCTAAGGAACTTTAAAACACTGATTGTAGCCGATTTTATTTAAAAAATCACCACTTTGTTGGGAGCTACATGTGAAAGGTCAAGAACGAGTACCTCGGATTTTTCTGTCAGTTTTCCAGTCATGTCTTCCAAGTTTGAGATACGCAATTCGTGTTCTTGGTGAAAGGTCATAAAGTCAGTCTTAGAGAGAAAAGCAAATGGACAAACGGTGTAAGAAGTTATGCAAAAAAACAAAAACCTAGCAGGTTAAGCCAAGTTCTTCCTACACAGAATATCAACAAATTAGACTATCTGGTCACAAGCTGACATCACACCTCTGAGGGGGAATCTGCTAGTAACATCCTTATCTTCACCTTTATCTCTAGAGGTTTCAAATCTGTGCTAGAATTCATAAAGTTTTTCTAGTTACAGAAGGATATTCATAAAGAAGTCCTGTAATTACTAGAGCATAGTGTCTGTAGAAAGCAAATCAATTGCTATTCATTCAGCAAACACTCATTACATACTCACTGTATTTCATGATAAAATAACTGTGGATACAGATACACTGCCCACTCATCTCCCCCACAATCATTTCACACTCATATAAAATACATAACATAAAAACATTTACTAGGAATAAGCCGACTGGAATATATTTCCAAAACACTTGAAAATATCACTCAGAATTGAATTTTCATCAGATGATTACAGTAGCTTATTTAGTATTGATTAGGGAGGTAAGTTACTTTTCTGGCTGAGTAAGGGAAGGATCAATGAAAGCATCAAAATAGAAGAGAACAGTTTTTTGCAACATAAGCAGTTAACTGTTCAAAAATAGTTGACAATTTGTTCAACATACTTCAACACTTTCTCTAGCAATTTTTAGAAGATAAAACTACAGCAAGATTATCAGATACACTCCTGGGGAGTTCAAGAAAAATCACTGCCAATTATATACTCAAAGGGAGACTGCACAGCAGAGAACGACAACAGCAAGGAAAGGTCTGGTGCATACTGAATAAGGAAAACCCGGGCCACAGAATGTAAATCCAGAGTGATAAAGTACTCTGATTGTGGGGAGTTTTCTTTGCTAATGTATACCCTATCTCACTCTAAAATATAACCAAAACAGTTTCTAAAGATTCACATAAAAAAATAAGATTAAAAATACGGTAAGCCAGAGCAAAGGGGTGAAGGCAGCTAGAAAGGTGAGCCTGGGGGCCCTGAATTATAGGAAGGTGCGCCCCATGGGCGGGGTGGGTGGTCCTGAGGGGCCAGAGCAGCTTGAAAGAAGACGCCGCAGAGCACAAAGCCGCTGGTCTGCCGTGTAACATGGTTGCCGGCCTTCTCCGCCCTGCCCTGTGGCCTGTCCCCGCCTGTGCTGTGAGGCCAGTACATGCACTGCACACAGTTCACCAAGTGTCAACTGCCTTGTGGCAGCAGAAGAAAAAACAAGAAACTATTCTCAGTGTTACCTCAGTGCCCTGGACACCCTCTGAGTGGGTCTCCTTCACTCGCTGCTCCACCAGCTGATGGACCAGCATCAGCATCCCCTCCCTGTCGCCATCCGCCTGGTCTGCACGCGCCTGCAGGTTCCGGAGCAGTGATAGCACCCCATCTTGGTCACTGTCTGCCTTGTCCGTGTGCGCCTGCAGTCTCTGGAGCAGCAGCGTCAGCTCTCTGAGCTTCTCCTCGTGCAGCTGACACCTCCCAGACAATGCAGTCACCTGCCGCTCGATGTCACTCAGCCAGTGCCACTGGAAAGCCTCCTTGCCATCACCCTAAAATGGTCAGAAGGGGTTCCCAAGGCAGTGGTCAGGAGAAAGCACAAGTGAGCGTGAGCACAGGATGACTCAGAAACACACGTACTATGTGTACTAGTCACCGTGGCCTCGCACCCACGGCACTGCATGCAGACCACTCGAGGGGAGCAGGAACACGCAGGTCACTAGTGAACACCCTCATGTGGGAAGGCTGCAAGTGGTTTCATTTTCTTCTTTATATGTTCTATATTTTCCAAGGTAATCGATGCTATTCCGTTTTTTAAATTAAAATTAGCTGAATAACGAGATTACTTGTAACATGCACTGTCTGTACCATTTCAGAACATCAAGGAGCTGTACAACTTGCTGGTTTTACGTTTAAAAGTATCCCCTAGAACAGGGCACCCTCCTAAGCCACGATGCTCACAAGGAGCATGAACATCTACTATGAAGAATAAATATTTGCAGGGCCCTTTAATATCAACAGAAGACAGCCTTCTACCCGGTTACCTCAAGTGGCAAGCGCAGGTGAGCAGCATCAGGTGTGAATATATTCTTGGGGTCATCTGCCCTCTGTGCTTTGTACCCGTTTGTCCAGTTTAACACAGGCAGGAATGAGAGGAAATCGCCCTGTCCCCAGAATGCAAGACCTGCACCTTGGAGCAGAGAAAAAAACAACTGTATACACATGTATGCACACTTTTTATCAAAAAATTTAAATGCTCAATTTTTTTCACTCATCTATACATACACACACATCTAAGCCAAACCTCACTTACCTAGTAAAAGTAACAGTGGGATGAGCAAGACTAAAAATTTGCAAATATTTTGAAGGCACCTGGGAAGAGAAATGAAAACACTGAACTTTGGAAAAGTAAAAGGGAGGTTCACCATTCTGTTTTCTTCTCTAGATAACTTTATATAAAATATCCCCCACCCCCATTTCAAAATGGAAATCCACAATATTAGAAATGTAGCTACAGTTTTATCTATAGGATTTATAGATACCTATAGTTGACCCTTCCTACAAAATTATGTCTCCCAGGTCCAGGTTAACAGTCAAACATGCTGACTGACTCTATATACACAAGGCACCAGGCCAGGGCTGCAGGAAAGCCATGAAGGTGACTGGAACCACCCTCCCCCGGATCATCTCGGCCCTGCTGGGGTTACCTGGTGCCCTGGAAACCGCACTGGAGCAGGGGTCAAAGGACCCAAGTACAGTCCTGTGCCTGCCCCTTCCTGGCTGTGTGACCTTACACTCTGAGCTTCTGGACACTTCTGCTTTCTTCAAGGGTGATACCTGCCTCTCCCAGCTCATACAGCTGGTTGGGAAAACTAAATAAGAATGTGAAAGACCAAAACCAAACCGGTTGCCATCGAGTCAATTCCAATTCATAGCGACCCTACACGACGCAGTAGAACTGCCCCATAGGGTTTCCAAGAAGCAGCTGGTGGATTCGAACTGCTGACCTTTTGGTTAGCAGCCAAGCTCTTAACCACTGCACCACCAGGGCTCCTCAATATGAAAGCACTTTGTAAAATATAAAGCGATATGTAAATGTAAAATACTACTCTCAAACTGCAATAACACTATATAAATATAAGATAGATTATAAAACAATGAACCAACTGATTTCCTGCAATCAGTACAAAACCGTCTCTCCAAAGCACAAAGCTGACATGGCATCAGCGTCCTTACCTTGTAAGAAGGAACACGTTCAGCCAAGACATCAAAGTAACGAACTGGTACCATCCAAAGCCCAGCCACCAGAAGACTCTGGAAGCTGCCTTCCCTGGAAGAGAAAACATCAACTGGTCCAAGGAAGCACTCTGAGAAGACAAGCTTCTAAAGAGACCATTTTTGTGAAGGCCAAGCTAGAAGCACAAAGAGACGTACTAGCAGACGTTGTGGAAGTGTACTGGGATGCAGTGGCGATGCTCTCCAGACAGGCGCTAGTCATCGTGGCAGGAAATTCCCAAACACAGGAACACAAGCCACAAGCAAAACACAATGCAGAGAAATGCACGAGACGAGATGTAAGAGTGGAAACCCACATCCATGTTTGATACGTGAGAATCAAGCAGCTAGACTTACTCAAAACCCAACACACCAAGAAACAAAGAACACTCATGCAACAAACACATTGTCTGTTAGCATTTCTAAGTAATCAGGAATGAAATGGGTTACATTAAGGGGCAAAGCATGGGGACCTAGAAATGAAGGTTTTATTTGCTTAGGTAAATCATTTATTATGGGCACTCAGCAGCCAAAGCCTGGGAGAGGACGTGAACACAGAAAGCCGAAATAACCACCTGGAGCAGTAATGGCCAGCCAGAGCACCGACCACACCGCTGAGGACACGAACCACCCTACAGCAGCGGTCCTGCGCAGCACCTGCACCAGCATGTGACCTGTGGCAGACGAGATGTATATGAGGGGCACTGAGACACAGGCACCAGCACAGACCAGCACTCCCGGCGCACAACAAAACCACACACTCCCACGGTCACCCATTCCACCAAAGCTCTCTTGTATCATAAGTTGAGTCTCTTCCCAAAGAAAAAACAAACTACTTCAAGTCTAAGAAACATACTCCTTGAAATAAGCACGTGGAAAACCCTGCTATACGTCTGAACAGTTTTCATTCACTCTGCCTGCAGATACTCAAAATGTAAAATGCAGATACCCCTTATAAAATCCAAGGGGGCATGTTTGGAAGCTACCCTATAAACTTTTGCAACTGGTGCTAGCAGAATTTATATGGGAAAAATAATGCAATGTTTTAAAGCAAACGAGAACTCCAGAGACATCAGCAGTTAGCAGGCTCTAGGTGAGACAATGATTACTCAAAGACTGAAATGAAAGTTATTCTGAAGACTAATATTTTCCAGGGAAACAGTATCTTAAAATGACAAATGGTTGTACCACTGGATTCCATCACAGCCAGACAATAAACAATCTTATATCAAACATCACACGCTACATAAGGCAGAAAAGCGCTTATGAAGTCAGTTTTGTTTCATTTTTTTAAAAGTAATTGTTGGGAGCTATATTATTATATTAACTCAACATTGGCACGTTGACCCCTGAAACTACTAAAAAAAAATTACAATATGGCTGACATGCAAGGAAATATGGTTTAAATGATTTTTTAAAAAATCCATTGCTTTATGTTTAGTAAACAGTTAAAGAGACAATTACATTTGAAGCTCAGCTTTAAAAAAGAAAGTCTAAAAAAGACAACCTTTAACAAGAAATTGACAAGTACAATTTGGAAAACATCTCATTTTTTTCTGTAAGCCCCCATGTGGTAAACTTACAGCATACAGATGCTAATCACTGAAGCAATAATGTATTCTCCAGCTACAGGATACACACGGGCAAGTAGCTTTTTGCAAGGTAGTACTCCAACACAGGAGGGTAATTAGTTACTAATTAGCAACCGCGAATAAGTTGCTTTTCATACATTTAATTTGTACTAAATAAATTTACAAAGACTTTTTAAGACTGAAATTCTTAAGGTTAATATTGCTCATGTCAGTTTTAATGAGCAGGGCTTTCAAACACCTGAATCCCAAACAGAAACTAGAGCAAGGAGCAATACGCATTTGTGAAGTCATATGATAAACGCAAAACAGAAGAGATGCGAGAGACAACCTGCATAAGAAACGATGTGCCACGCGGCCCTTGTGACCCTGTGTGACTGTGAAAGCTGCAGGTGGGGGGAGGCATTTGTTTCAAGACGTTCCTTCTTCCCCTTACAGTCTTCACCTGTTGGTTGCGGTAACAAGCAGTTAATTTGGCAATAATCTGAATCGTGCACGATAGCAGCTTGAAAAATTAGGGACCCAGTTGTGCAGATAAGTCACAGCAGGTGCAACCTGGAGAGTCCTCGCTCCCATTACTGAGGGTTGAAGCGACGGCTCTACCAGCCCATCCTAACTCACGGGGCCGCTGCATACGTGCAGGTAATACCTTCTGCCTCATCAGGGGCCTAACTACAACCTGTGAGGAGCCAAGTCCCAGACCAAGGACGTCACTGTGCTGTGTGGCTGTACTTACACAGTGGCTCCCCATTCACGCCGAGGCGCGCGTCCTCTCTGAGCAGCTCGTTCACCTCCGTCCTCCCACCATACCCGGAGTGAGCTGCAACACAGCGACAGAGATTAGAGAGCACGTCTGCCCCAGATGCAAATGCTGCTCAGAGGCTGAGGAAGCGAGTGTAATGGAGAACTGCTAGGCTGACCACTTGCAGGGTTTCAGATTTTGAAGGCTCACACAGTGCAGGTGAATGCCAGTGAGCCCAGGTGATGACGGGGCTTTCGTCCCGAGAGAAGTGAAAGCTGAGTAAGGTGCCCAGGCAATACCAGACGACCAAAGACGGGTCTGCTTCGAAAGCTCTGAAACAGCATGACCCTAAACACCACTCAATTAAAAGGTTTTTGCTTTAAAAAGGTAATAAAGATTAAACGTTGAATACATTAACTTAAAAAAAAGACTTAAAAATGTTTAAGCATTGCCACCTTTCAGAAAACAGAACGGCATACTGAGTCAGCCATGAGAGAGACAAGCCAAGAGAGAGTCAGCCATGAGAGGCCGCGGGAGGAGAGGCATGAGGGGCGCACATGAGAGGAAGCACAGGGTTTTCTCCACTTTGAAAGCATTATTTGGTGGAGAAAGGAGGGAAAAAATGGTTTAAATACCTTTCGATTCATGGCTTTTTGACTTAAAGCTTTTTGATTCACAATCTTTTGATTCATAACTTTTCGATTTGTAATTCTCTGATTCGTAACTGAGCTTCATTAAAACCACTTGGAAAAGCTGAACTAAGAACGACGAGAAAGATGACGAGGTGCATTTGGCCAGCCACAAGATCCTATTCACGCAGAACGATGCACCGCCTATCAAAAAACCGTGAATACATGTTACTTTTTCCCACAAGACCAACTTTACTTCCCCTGAAAAAGTCAGAGAGCCAAGTCGTTAATTTCAGGCAAAGTGGAAACAGCTCTCTGAATGGACTCAAGCGACAATGATGCGAGTGAAGCAGTAACGACCAAGCACACTCTGCTCGAAGTGACACTGGGCAGAACTCACCCTCGTAAATGTCCTGACAATTTAAAACAAACTAGGTGGCAAACTCTTTAACATCAAGCATCTCTATTGGCAATCCTCTATATCAAATTTGAGATAATTTTGCCCTGATACCACCCATACATACAGTATTTACAATTTGCCAAACAGCCACTTCCTACATGACCTCTGACCCAGCACTGATTCCTGGGCAGGTGAGGGCTCCAGCGAGACTGTCAAGCACCTTCAGGGCAGGCGCCATGGCGCTGTCTGCGGCAGAGAGCGGAGCCAGCCCAGACGTTCAGTTAAGTTACAAGCAACACCCAGAAATGGCTAACCATCCTTTGCTCCTTTTCAGTAGTGCCATAATTTCAGAAGCTACGTCGTGATCCCGATACTGTTTCCTGCTACCCTAAATGTGTGGGGTGGTAATATACAAGCCACAGTTGGCAGAGATTTCCATTCTTGAAGAGTGTGGTGTATGAAGTATAGGTGAGGAGCAATGTGAGACCACATGAGGAAAACGAGCCACCAGCATTCACTGTCCCAAGAAGTGCTTCCAGGAGTCAGCTCCTCCGTGTACTTTCCCAGCTTAGCAAAAGCAAAACCTTATTAAATTAGAATATATGGGACGAGGCCAGCCTGAGCTGGGAAAAAGGTAAGATTAGAGGTCTGTACTTTCAAATATTCTAAGTAGGCTATTCGTGAATTCAGACCCTATACTCAAAAAATAAAAATAAATAAAAACAAAACTGGGGTAATTAGCCCCCAGAGCATCAGTGCCAACATTGTTTTACACTTTAATTAGGAACCTACAGTATAGGAACCCTTGTGATGCAGTGGTTTAAGCGCTCAGTAGCTAACCAAAAGGGTGACAATCTGAACCCACCAGCCATTCCACAGGAGAAAGATGTGGTAGTCTACTTCCATAAAGATTTACAGCCTTGGAAACCCCATGGGGCAGTTCTGCTCTGTCCTATAGGGTTGCTATGAGTTGGAATGACTTGACGGCAGTGGGTTTGGTTTTTACATATAGTATAAACTTCATAGAGAGGCTGGCAAAAATTTTTCATTGAAAGGTAATGCATGGTTCATTGTAACAATATTCACAATTGCCAAAAGAAGGACACAACCTAAATGTCCATCAGCAGATGAACAGATAAACAAGATGCGGTCTATCCATACAATGGAATATTACTCAGCCATAAAGAAAAATGAAGTTCTGATACATGCCATGACATTAATAAACCCGGAAAACTTCACACTGAGTGAAAGAAAGCAGACACGAAAGGACAAGTACTGTATGATCCCGCTTATATGAAATATCTAGAACTGGCAAATGCATAAAGATAGAAAGTAGATTAGAGGTTACCAGGGACTAGGGGAGGGGGAATGGAGAGTTACTGCTTAAGGGACACTGAGATTCTGTTTGAGGTGATGGAAAAGTTTTGGAAACAAATAATGGTAATTATAACATGGTGAATATTGCTGAAGGGAGGTATTGCTTCCTGCTGTAGGTACTCAACAACATCAGCCAGGCAGTCGTGACTGGGCTTGGGGTCCCCACATCAGTGGTGGCACCACACCATGAAAGGGAACCTGGAGAGGGTACCATGCTCCCTGTCCCAGGTCCAGCAGAGGCTGGGCACCTGCCCTGGGCCCAGCAGAGGCTGTGCCCCTAGCCCAGCCCTGCAGTGAAGGCCCCATCTCCTCTCTGGAGAGGCAGCCCAGCCCTGCAGTGAAGGCCCCGTCTCCTCTCCCAAGGCAGCCCAGCCGTGCAGTGAAGGCCCCATCTCCTCTCCCGAGAGGCAGCCCAGCCGTGCAGTGAAGGCCCCATCTCCTCTCTCTCAAGGCAGCCCAGCCCTGCAGTGAAGGCCCCGTCTCCTCTCCCGAGGCAGCCCAGCCATGCAGTGAAGGCCCCATCTCCTCTCTCGAGAGGTAGCCGAACCCCTGCAGAGACCACAGGCAGTGCCGCCATCTTGTGTCCATCCTCCCAGGACTCTGTGCTCACAGAGACGAAGCCCAGACTCTGGAGTCACACTTGGATTCAGTCAGGTGGAGGTTCCACCTGTGGGGACTCTGCCATGACTGCCACCATTCCAAACACAACACCAATGCTGTCCACCCCCTACCCAGAAGCTGTTCTCAGAGGTCTCTCTTCATCCCTACCAATACTTTCCTGCTCACTCCCCTGAACCTGCAGTTACCACAGACACTGACTACCACTGTGACACCGGCTCGAGGCCTCTGCAGGGGAAGCAAAAGGAGCAGCACGAGGCCCTCCATAAAGACAGCTGAATTCACACTGTTTGCAGAGACAAGGGGCACCGGGAGGGCCCACAGCTCTGTGAGCCTCCTTCCCACAGAAGGCGCCCTATGCTCACCCAGAGTCCAAACAGGAACAAAAGTGTTCACCACATACGATGTAAGCCCAAAGAGGATGAGTGGAACAAAGCTAGCTTCTGGCGAATTTCTTCAATTTTTAAAGGATAACTGAGTTTGAGTTTGTTATGGATTGAATTGTGTCTCCCTAAAATTGTGTTGTAAATCTTCACTCCTAAACCTGTGATCCCATTTGGGAATAGGAATTTCTTTGTTATGTTAATGAGGCCATGTAAGTGTAGGGTATGTCCTAAGCCAATCACTTGCTGAGATATAAAAAGCACAGATCAGGCACAGAAGAAAGCATAAACGGGGAAGACAGACGCCACATGAAGATCGCCAAGGAAATGAAGACCAGAAGCTGAAGGAGACAAAGATTTTCCCCCAGACCAGGCAGAGAGAGCCTCCCCTACAGCTGGCACCCTGATTTCAGACTTCTAGCCTCCTAAACTGTGAGAAAATAAATTTGTTTGTTAAAGCCACCCGCTTGTGCTATTTCTGTTACAGCTGTACTGAGAGACGAAGACAAAGTCTATGACGGAAACAGTGTAGACACTGAGGCCTATAAAATCAACTTGACAAAAAGAAAAGGAAATATTTGGACAGTAAACCCTTTTCAAACTTGTAAGAGTGAGACTTACTCTTTTGACTCCTGTCCCGAGAATAGACTCTCGAGGTGGGCCCAAGGGCTGGGGGGTGCGCAGTGAGGACATCCTTGCGCTCCGAGAGCAGGCTGCAGTCACTGCAGGTGTAGCCGTTGACAGCGGCGGTGTCTGCCGCTGCAGCAAGGTCACCATTTCCCTGAACAGCAGCTTTATTTCCACCTAAGGGTTCCAAAATATAGACAGAACCTATTTATGACAGCCTACAGATACCTCATGAAAACATACATTTTGAAGAGTGTGGCAAAAAAGAGGACAAATGATTACCTTTAAGGTCACTGTCATCGTCGAGACCTGAAAAACATGCACACATTTTGCTGTTGAGCTCAATGTATCAAAACAGAACAAGAGCCACCAAAAAGAAGAAAGCAAAGGTTGCAAGTGTTAATAAATCAGCATTATGGCATTGGCCAAGATTTATCTCCTACAATGCCTAGAATTAAAGGGAATTTTTCCAGATACACACAGACACTCTTCTGATTCAAACTGAATGAACATCTTTGAGGAAAATACATATATATACCTACACCCATGAATACCCACACATGTAATGCAAATACCCACACATGTAATGCACATACCCACACATACACACGCACGCACATGTACATGCACACACAATTTGACCTAATGAGGAAGAATAGAGAGATAAAAGCTCATTTTCTGACTACTACCATACAACAAGGCAGAGACCTCACAATTACAGCATATACTCCTGTTGCTTGGTAACTACTCTTGCTAACTGAGCAAAAGAGTATGAACATGAATACCAACGCTTCCCAAAATTAGCACACACAAACTTTTAGAGCTCATCTGAATCATCTGATCTTCTCAGAAGGGCCGATCACACACAAACGAGCCACAAAGGAGCAGCTCTGTGCTGTGCCCATGTTTCGTCCCCTCTGCATGGCCTCCGTGGCATCGCAGTCTCAGCAGCCAGGATGCAGGTCCCGCTGCTGTTGTCTAAAGTCAAGGTGGTCAACTCGCACACCGGCCCAGTGTCATCACACTGCACTGTGACACTTTGTAGTGACTCAGTACACGAGAACTGGGGAATTTTCACACTAACTTTTAAATACATTTAGAAAAACCAGTATCAGGTTATTGCCTGGTTACTTATCTTTCACATCAAAACAAAATCCAAATAAAGAGATGCACCCAAATTCTCGGATGATTACACATTAGCATAACCAAAGGAAGCGGCAGGCTGAAGCCCCCCGTGTTGGTGAAGACAAGGCCTTGGGCCACCTAGTACTCCTCTCAACCAATGAAGTGCATAAGGAACAGCCTGGCGTAACTGTCCTTTTCCCCAGAGTAATCTGAGAAACAACCCAGCTGGAGATAAAGTGACTGAATTGCCCCACTTCAAGAAGGGCACTTTGAAGACATGGCTGTACCCACTTACCCCAGAAGTGGTCCACCTTGGTCTGCTCCCGGATCAGAGACGCATCCAGCACAGGGGGCTGGAGGGCCATGTTGCCCCGCAGGCTGTGACAGCTACTCTGGCTGACTGCTGAAGATGTCACTTTTCTTGACATGTGATTTATACTAAAAGCCGGTTTGCTTGTACTTCTGCGCTGTTTTACTGTTCTAAAAAGAAAGGAACAAGAAACAAATGCATAAATTTTTCTAGTACATAAATACAAAATAATTAGATTTTATTAACATAAAATCTAGGGCTGAGAATAAACAGCATTTTTAAGGCAAAGCATTTTCTTACATCTTTCCTGCTGTAATGAAACATCTATTAATCTAAAGGGATTCTGAGGCTGGGATCAAGGGACTCTCCTCAAACTCTGTATACAAAGTAGTGCTCAGATTATTTTGGGTCCCATGACCCAAGAGTGGTTAAGAACTGATCTAAAAATGTTTTGAAAATACGATTTGTAAGTTTAACCCCCCACTTTTCCCAAGTAATTGCACACACATATACATCCAGACCATTTCTCGGTCACTAGTGAGGATGGAACTGCATTAAGTGCAGCGAGGACAGGCTGTAATCCACAGTAAGTCCTGCATTCACATTTACCACAAATTATAAAAATAAAGCCTTCAAACATAGCATTCTACGAACATTCAACATGAAGTCAGGCAGTGGGGTGCAAAGGCAAGTAAGGTAAGGTCCTCACCCTTCCAAGGAGTTAGTCGTGGGTGAAGGCAGAGGCATTGGCATAAAACAATGTGAAAAAACCCCAGGTGAGCACAGGGAAGTGGATCAACTTGGCCAGGATATCACTGGGTGATGGGGAATCAAGTCTGGTATTACCTCATTACCACTGAGCGGTTCTCACACAGCGCAGTACACTTGAACCATCTGGGAATCCTCACCTGCTGCCACAAACCTACTGAATCAGACTCTGCAAGGGGGAGGTCCAGGAACCTCACTTTTAACAACAGACTTCCTGGGTGAAGGTGGTCCGGGCTAGGGGGCACCACTTACAGATTCCAGGGGCCACGGCTGCGTTCACATTAACATTTCATCATGTTTCTTCATCACTACTGAGCCCCAATCTTGAGAGAATAACAGCTCGGGTTTGAAACTCATGATTCTTAAGTGAGCATCAGAAAGTGAAGCTGCTGCTTTCACTCCTTGCATCTAAACAGTGCAAAGTCCACACTGTACCATCGCTCCTTTCCGGGCAGAGAAGGTTCAGAGATCAAATAAATATGAGAATTACAAAGACAGGAAAACATCTAAATTTTATCTGTATCTGTTAGCTAATCATGGTGGTGGTGGTGGTTAGTTGCCATCAAGTCAGCTCCAACTCATGGTGACCTTATGTATAACAAAACCAAACGTTTCCTGATCCTGCACCATCTTCGTGATTGTTGGTATGTTTGAGTCCACTGTTACAGATACTGCGTCAACTCATTTCATTAACGGTTTCCCTCATTTTCGCTGACCCTCCACTTTACCAAACATGATGTCCTTTTCTAGTGATTGGTCTTTCCTGATGATGTGTCCAAAGTAAGTGAGCTGAGGTCTTGCCATCTTTGCTTCTAAGGAGCATTCTGGTTATATTTCTTCTAAGACTGATTTGTTTGTTCTCTGGCAGTCCATGGTATATTCAATATTCTTCACTAATAGCATAGTTTAAATGCATCAGTTCTCCTGTGTTCCTTTTTCACCGTCTAGCTTTTGCACACATGTGAGACGACTGGAAAGACCACGGCTTGGGTCAGGTGCACCTAAGTCATCAAAGACATCTTTGCTTTTAAACACCTCAAAGAGGTCTTTAGCAACAGATTTGGCTAATGCAATACGTCATTTGATTTTCTGACTGCAGCGTCCATGGGTGTTGACTGCTGATCCAAGAAGAATGAAATCCTTGACAATTTCAATATTTTCTCCATTTATCATGATGTTGCTTATTGTGAGAATTTTCATTTTCTTCCGTTCAGGTGTAATCCACATTTAATAAATAGATTTAAAGCATTAGCAGTGCAGAGACCACCTACAATACCATGTGATGATTTGGGTTAAGATTTCTTCCATTCAAACATCATTTGGTAGGATGGCTGAAGTTTAGTTCCCGTTACGAAGAAGAATAAGGCTTTCTAAACCGTGAATACTGGTTTGTGACACATTGTACCCACGTACCAGGGTGCCAGCTATCTCTCCACAATGTTAAAAAAGAACTTGAAAACCTTAACTTGCAGAACATCAACACCAGACAACTCACACACATTCGAGAATGAGTTTCAGCCCTTACATACGGTGAAGCTATGTTATATACACACACACAGGCACACATGTAGCCTTACATTTGAGAGAGCACGGTTTTACAAATCAAGAGATTTGACCCTGTGAGAAACCCCAGGAAGACAGAGCAGAGCTGGGCTCACCTGGATTCCCTGTCCTTCACAGAGGCAGTGTTCCTGGCGCAGGTGCGGCCCTTGGTGTCTGGGCCATCCCCCGCGGTGAACACTGGGGTGACCAGGCGCAGACTACGACGGGACATTCTTGGAGAGTCAAAGACAGGATCCAGTCTGTGCTCGGTCTCAAAATCCAGAGCTTCAGAAGAATAACTTGAACTAGGAGAAAAGGAAACTTGTCAGAGAGACAATGCTACAGCACCAGTTCTGGAACAAACTGAACAAGTAATGAATAGAACGTGTAATCCGTTGAGAATTTTAAAAAGCAACTATTATTGTGGGACAATTTTACTATGAAGCAAAAGTAAGCTGGCACATAAATCTGCTTAAGAAAACTTTTTTTTTTTATTGGTTTTTAATTGTACTTCAGGTGAAGGCTTACAGAACAAATAGTTTCTCATGAAACAGTAGTACACATGTTGTTTTATGACATTGGTTAACAACCCCAC